AGGTCTTGCTCAGCAGAGCAACAAGTCCTCCACAGCCCTACATGCTGGATTTCTCCTTGGCAGAAGCAGTACCACAGGAGGACTTCATGCCCTATCCCTGGCAGTGTTCAAGGTCAGGTTGGACGGGGCTTGGAGCAGCCTGCTCTAGTGGAAGGTGTCCCTAGGAAGGAACTAGATGAGCTTTAAGGTTTCTTCCAACCCAGACTGTTCCGTGATTCTATGACTTGATGCTAGACTTGAACAGTTGTGCATGGAGACGCAGGGAGGAGAAAAAGTGGGAAGAAGACTGTCAGAAGCTTCTGAGGAAGTTTGACTTTATTTTCCCCAGCTCTGTTACCCTGACACGTTAACGGCTGGAACCGATGAGTCCTCCTTGCTCCTTCCCACACGTCTCCATGTCTCCCACAGCAGCAAAACCTGGTGGTTTTCTCATGAATGAAGAATAAAACCTCATTGGGAAGTTCATCAACTTTGGGCTCACTGAGTGATAGCTTTAATTACACTGCGCTGCTTGGCATCTCTACTGCACTCCCCAAAGTCATTAAAAATAGATTTTCTGGTTGAACTCCAGCCCCCTGAGGGGTCTGTGGGCAGTGGGCCGTGGCCATGGGGCTGCCCTAGGGCTGTCTCCAGCCATGGAGGTCAGAGCCCTGTACTGGTAGCAAGCATGAACAATGGAAACTTGGCTTCATGTGTGTGTTTTAGATGTTTATTTATTTGGACCTGGATTCTTGCACTTTCGGCTCCTCTGGGGCTGGCAAAGTGTGGATTCATGTGGTTTGGAGAGCTTGTATTGATTTTTTGGGTCTATTTTTTGCTGATGTTATGGGTCAGGCAGTCAAGGAAAGCAGCACTGAGACTTCATCACCTGGTTATTGAGAAGCATGTTTGTGTCGGCATGGGTAGAAGGAAGAGGTAGCAATCAGGCTGCTGGGAGGAGGGTTCTGCCCTCAGGAGTAAGGAAGTTCCCCTGAAGTGTTGGTTTCTTGGCTCTTGTCCTTCAAGCAGATGCTCCTCAGCTCTGCTGAACTGCTTTATCACTTTGCATTTGCTGTGACCATAGTGATGTGGAGCTCCTGTCCTTCTTTCTTATCCCCAAAATGACCTGCTGCCTGCTTCAGCAGTGGTATCGTGGCTCTGCAGGCATCTCCAGGCTCTGCAGGGAGAGGAGGTGCAGGGTTTGAGGCTGCATTTGGAACATTCCTGCATGGCTCTGTGTGGCTTCAGGACCTCTCACCTCCTGTTTCTGGTAGCTAGAGCAGAAATCTCAGGCATCCAAAACCATCATTCACTTTCAGAAGCTCAAGCATGACTGTGAGGTCTGCAAGTACTCATTGGATGCAAGGATGGGAGCTGGCATCAGGAGCTCTGCTCTGGGTACCACAGGAGATCGTGGATGAGTTCAGTGCAGGCAACAGGGCTTTGTCTGGGGTGGGGAATACACTCCTGAAGTGGTGATAGACCTTCTCAGGTGTTTGCTGTGAGTGCCAGGAGCATTCCCCTGACTTACCTCTCCAATGTAAACTATGAGAAGACTTTGCATGGAAAAACTAAACCCTGAAACCCAAAGCCCTTTCCCAGTAAACTGTCCTGCTGCACACAGAGCTGCCCCTGGGGCTGGCAAGGAGGAGACAGCAAACAGACCAGGCTGTGACAGATGGGAGTCACATTGGTTATGCATAGCTGCGAGGTGCTGGTGCCCGCTGGGACCAGGACGCTGGGATGAGGATGCCAGCAGTGCTTGTGGCCATCAGAGCGGGGCTGGGCAGGACCCAGGGTGGCCATGATCTGGGGTTACTGAGCGAGTACTTGGTGGCTGCACCCACTCCATTCCTGCTCTCAGCCTTTGAGAGCCGTGGGTGCACGGAGCCGATACTGCAGAGCTCATGGGCAGGATTGGATGGGGCTTGGAGCAAGCTGCTCTAGTGGAAGGGGTCCCTGCCCATGGCAGGGGGTGGAGCTGGAGGAGCTTTAAGGTCCCTTCCATCCTAAGCCATTCCATGATCGTATGCAGGCAACTGTGTTTATGGCAGCAGCCATACCAGAAACTATCAGCAATCCCTCTTCTGTTTTCTGTCTTTCCTTCTGGTTTTCCCTTCAGTGCTTTTTTGTCTCATTTTGTTACTATTTCCTTCCTTATCAGCTGCTCCTTTGCCTTTTCCCTCTCTTCTTGTCTTCTCCTTGATGGCAGCCTGGGGCTGAAAGGAGTATGGGGGGAAGCTCTTGGACTTGGGAGTCTGTGTCCTCCACCCTGATCCATGTTGTTTTTCCTTCCACCTACAGGCATTGATGTTCCGTGTCGCACACACAAGTGCTTTGGTCTCATAATGATAGTTAAGCTGGCAGAGAACAGCTTAAAAATATGTAAAGCTTTCCAGCCTGCCGTCAGGAAGAATAAGCACATCTGAGCTTTACTTCTTTACTGTCTCTGAAGGAAATAGAGCTTTCAGTCTTCTGTGTTTGTGATAGGTATGGGATAAGATATGGATATATCCTACTCTTTAATGGGATTTGTCTTGTTCTCCTGTTAAAATGAAACATGTTTGTTAGAGGGTTGGACTATTTTCAGTATGTGGATCATGGATGGGAAGGGTGGTTGATGATGGGTTGGTACTGGGCACATAGTGCAGACCCCCAAATCTTTTTCATGCATGCAGATACTTCAGTGCCTTCTGTTCATCATGGTTTTGAACTTCTTCATTCAAATGTTGATCTGGGTATTGCAGCAATGCGGGGTTTCAGGCATTAATTTTCATGAAGGGTGAATTTCAAAGTCATAGCCATAAGTATTAGAGAAAAGCAGGTGGTTTATTCTCCTCCAAAGTCTTAGGCTTTCCTCCAGCCAGGACCACAGGAGTTATCTAAGGAGCCAGGGCTACAGCACTGCTGACCAAGAGGGATCCTGTGACTGTTCTTGGTCAGAGCAGGTCCCCCAGCTGAGGTGATGCCTTTGCCCTGGTTGCATCAGGTACCAGGCACTGACTCTTGCAAAGAGATGAAGGGGTGAAGTTCTCTGCCTTGCATTTTGTAGGCATCACAAAGAAAGGATCAAATAGTCCCTTCTGGGTTAGAAACTGCGATTCCAGGTGTTGTTCAAAATGTCTGTGTCATTTTTAAAGAGTTACCATGTGCAAAAGCCACAGCTTCTGTGCAGGAAAAGAACCCAAATGCCTAACATAAAATCATCCATAATGAACTGTTATTCATATAATTCAAATTCTCTGTTATTTATAGAGTGCTGCAAGAGCATCCTGCTCCTCACAAACATGAAGCAAGTCCCTGAGCTGCATATAAATCACAGGGACAGATCCTGTCAAGTCTCACATGGTGGGGAGGACGTGGGGGATCAGCAATGCCCAATGATTTCAGGGGTGTCCTCAGCTCTGGGGTGTCCCCCCCAAGACAGCTCAACATGCTGAGCACATCCTAGAGGAAACCCAATGACTTTCCTTGGCCGGTGTCTCCCGTGGCTGAGAGCCACCACAGCCTCCATGGGTGCTCATTTGGTTTGGAAGACACCCCAGGGAGGCTGATCCTGACGCCAGGCTGGTGGGTTTGCTCCCACCATGTCTGTGAAGTGCTTTGAGGTCTTTAGCCACAGCTTCTCTGTGCTCCAGGGCTGCTTTTCTGTTAGCATCCCTGAGCTGAGCCCTGTGCTTGTCCACAGACTTCATCCCAGCACCAAACCACCCCAGCCCTGCGCATCCACACGCGATTCTTGTTTTAGGAGAAGCTGTCGAGTAGGAAACAAGAAGAATAGCAGCCCTATTGGTGTCATCTCTAGAGAGGAACTGGATTCTCACTGTGTCAACAGCACTTGGCATGAAAGTGGCCATTGTTTGGCAAGACACTGCTCCTTTCACCCCGCGCACCCCAGCTGCTGGGAGCCGGGTGCTGTTTTGACGGACAGAGCGAGTGCAGTGCCCGCAGTTGGTTTAGTTTCCAGCCAGTTGCAGTTGCTCCCAGGGCCTGAGGGGAGCAATAATTATTTACACTATTGGATAATAGGGATGGAAGTGGATTGAAGTGGGAATGGGTTAACGCAGGAGGGCAGCGTCAGAACAGGAGGTGCAATCATCCCATGCCCGCTGGAAGTGGCAGGGGATGGGTTGGAAAGGTTAAAGTGGCATTTCTTCATTGGAGTCAAGCAATGACCCATGGTTAAAGCTTGGTGTCATTTTGGAGCCTTTGGGGTTTTCTGTGTTGATAAATGGGTCAGGACCATGCTACACCTCAGCATCACACAGGGATGTTGTGGGGGTGTATGATTAAGTGCAAGAGGAGATTTGAAGCAGTGACCTGGGCTGGTGTTCCCTCATGGGCTTCCCTCTTTCTTCTGCTCTGGAATCTCTTGCCTGGGAGAGATAGGCAACCTGGAGGGAGTTTTGCCAGGGTCAGTGTGTGTGTGTGTGTGTGTGTGTGTGTGTGTGTTCCAAACAAGCATAAGTCCATGCTGGTGCTGGAAGGGCTCAGGGTGGCCAAGGAGGAGCAAGTCATGAGCTGAATAAGCTTCCAACTTGTGATATCCCAAGGGATTTTGTTCCCTGCCAGCTCTCCTCCCTGAGGCAGCTTCCCCGTGGCACGTGTGAGACAGCAGGCTGTAAATCAGGGAGGAGAGGACGCAGCTTCCATTACGGGAGCATCTCTGGGCAGGGAGGTCGGGAGGGCTCCTGGTGAGCGGGCGCCAGGAGGGAGCTGGGGCTCTGTGATTCACAGCACCCAAGGGATGCAGTGACTCCATGGCTCCAACCCCAGTGCTTCCTGCTCTTGGCTGAATTCTGCATGGATGTTGGAACAAATTGGTTGAAGTCTGTGAATCACTGTTGCGTTACTTAGAGAATCACAGAATGGTTTGGGTTGGAAGGGACCTTAAGGCTCACCTAGTTCCTTCCTAGGGACACCTTCCAGGAGACCAGGTTGCTCAAAGCCCCGTCCAAACTGGTCTGTAAAGCCAAAAGAAGGAGAAGGAGCCCTGAGCTGTGTGTTTGCTTCCTTTGCAGGTGTCCCGGGTGCCTGTGGAGTCCTGTGAGCAGTACACGACCTGTGGGGAATGCCTGAGCTCCGGAGACCCACACTGCGGCTGGTGCACGCTCCACCACATGTAAGTCCAGCCTTGTCCAGGTCATTTGAGCTGCTGGTGGTGATGGGAAGAGCAGCTTTCAAAGCCACCAGGCACCTCCCACTCAGTGTTAGGCTGAAGTTCCTTAAATCCATTTTTCCCTTCCCTGGACATTCCCTGTGTTGCAGCGTGAATGCCATTGAATGCCCTGAGCTGCTGTGAAAGAGGTAAAGGAAACCAAATTCCTGCTTCAGGAGTGGAGAGGGTGCTGTGCATGCAATGGGAAAGCAGAGTTTATATTCATGGGAGTGAAGACCCTGTGTTTTACACGCTTCTCTTGCCCAAGCAAGTCCCTCCCAGTGGAGAGGGAATTAGTAAAGGCAATAGTTGGCTTGAGTATACGAGTAGGACTGTGGTTTGGGAGAGGTTGCTGCACTGGAACAGAGCAGAGCACCCAAGTCCTGTTAAGTCTATCGGGAAGAGGTGGTTGTATTGTGCAAGGAAGGGTCAGGGGGTCTGTGCTCCAGCTGTTCCCAATGGGGCAGAGGCGGCAGTGCAGGGCTGGGAGCTGGCAGCCCCTCACACATCAACAGGCACAAAGGGCTAAGGGTTGGTTTGGTGGTTTTTATTTCGGGGGAGCTCCAGGAAATGCTCTCTGCATTCAGGAGGTGTCTGTGTCCTTCCTTTCTCTCCCCTGCCATAATACCCATCACTTCCTAAGGCGGAAGGGGGACCAGCGGGCAGAGGGAGATTGAGAGAGGAAGGGAAAGCCTCGAGGAGAGGAATAGAAATCCCTCCGGCCGCATGCCAGCTTGCAGAGCAGCCCCGTTAAATGCATGGAAATCGGTGGAGGCAGAGTTCAGGGCCCCCACAGCAGCACTTGGCCACTTGCCTGAGGAGCAGGTGCTGGAGGGGGGAGCAGGGAATGACAGGCTCCTCCGCAAATCCGGCCTGGATTTGGGACCTGTGGGCTTTGGGCTGCAAACTGGCTCCCTGTGGCTTTGCTCGGTTTGCACAGAGTCGTGGCCACGCTCCGGGAGATGCAGGAGAGCCTTGGCAGCATTACTCTTTAGCTTTTCCCCTTTCCGACGAGCCTGTCCAGCCCCACAGCAAAGCCACCATACCTGTGGTGGTGTCCAAAAGCTTTGTTGTGACAGCGGCTTTGTCAGAAGGAAGTGATTTCCAGTCCTGCTGGTTCCCACCCCTTTGGCTCTTCCCTCGGGGTAGCCATCCCATGTGCCTTTCCAGCGGTTGGCACAGCTGTGCAGTAGGAGGGGATGGCTGCATTGGTACCTGTGGGTCTTTGGAGTCGCGCCTCAGCCTCCTGCAGCAGCTCCTCTGCAAGGATCACTGAGTGCTTGCCTAATGCTAATGAACTGAATCTTCATGAACCACCTGGGAAGCAGGTAAAGGTTGTTATCTTCATTTTGCAGACAGAAAACCCTCAATGTCAAGAGGAGAGAAGAGTGTCATTTCCTCTGCCCTTTTGGCCATGACATTTCAGCACTAACCTATTCCCAACAAGGGTTTCTTCCCTGATGGTATTTCTCAACCCTCCCTTCAAGCATCTGCACTTCCCTGGCCTGCTTGGAGCAAGGATCATCTTTTAGCTTTGGTCTTAAGCTGTAAATAATTGAGTTTCTCTTGCTGTTCCTGAAGCCTCTGTCATAGTTTGTTTGGAGGCCCCAGGCACTGGAGTGTTTGTATTGAATTTGTCATCTCTCTTCTCTTAATTCTTCTGTGTCCCTGCTGCCAGATGGACCAGCTGCTCAGTGGAAGGGTTGTGGGTCAGGGTGTATGACGCTCGTGCTGTGGTTTCTGAGGGCTGGTAAAAGGGTGAGGGGCAGAACAGGAAATGATTTTATCCTTAAAAGAGCAAGAGGGTGCCTGGTAAACACCAGCACATGTGGGCATGGTAAAACCAGCACTGTGACACCTAGGGACTGAAATCCAGATGCTTCTTCCCACTGCTTGTTGTGGGGTTTTGCTACTTGGGCTGGGGGTACCCAAGATGCCGAAGCTTGGGGTGTCCATCCAAGAGCTGCACCCTGCTGAGGAGCAGAGCAGGGCAGGACAGCCCATAAGGCAGCTCCTCTTGGGCACTTGGCATCCACATTTGCACTTGCCAGAGGCTTAGCTGAGAGCATGGATGTGCAGGTACTGAGCTAGCAGGGAGCCAGGAAAGAAATCAGAGTTTTCAGTGACGTGTTGGATGTCTGAACACAGATGGATGTGAGATAGATGGCCAGACCACTGCCCCATCCCATCAGGAAGTGTGTCCTGCCTTCCACACCACCAGACAGAGAGGAATGATAAAGGAAAACTCAAAGGGTCTGAGTTGTCCTGGTGTAAGCTTTCATTATCCGATATTACATCAAGCTTTGTTAGTGTGCTCTTTGTGTAGTATTCTTAGGGGCCTGAGTCAGGGCTTAAGGCTCTGGTGCACAGAGGGATGCTTGCACATACATGTGCATGCTTAGAATTCAAGGGTGTTTATGAATGGGCTATCTGGGTGCAGGACATTTGAGAAGGTGCTAAAACATAGCACCTTAGAATCATAGACTCAAACAGGTTGGAAAAGGCCTTGAAGATCATCAAATCCAACCTTTACCCCAGGGCTGCCAAGGCCACCACTAACCCATGGCACTAAGCAGGCAGGGAAAGGTGCTTGTCCTCCTGCAGAGCTGCAGTGCCAATGCTGAGCAGCCCAGTGTCCCTGCCCAGTGCCTCCACAGTGTCCTTCCAGCCAGGGGCTTGCTGCCATCCCAGCTCATCCTCTACATGTGAGAGCAGGATCCTGTGCTCCTCTTCTACAAACAGTGTCCTTTGGGAGCAAGCAGAGGCCTCAAGAAGATTGTTGAAGAGTTGCTTCAGCCCAGTGGGATTTGGAACCTGCAGGACTTCCATGTGCCGCTCTCTGCAAGTGTGTTATTGTCTACAGACCCATTTATCTCTGTTAGGGCTGTTGCCATAAATAGTACGATAAAAAAGAGCCATTCCAGCAAGTCAGTGAGATAAAGGCTCCAGTCAAGAGCTCACTTTAAAGCTATCTTACAGATTTGCTTAAACCTCAATAATTCTCCCTTTGGCAGCGTTCATATTTAGCTCCATTATGCTCCAAAAAGAAAAGGTACAAGGCGAGAGGGTGGGAACAGCAGGGGTCGCATGGGTGCCTTGGAATGGGAAAGGGTAAGGCCCACTTTCCATAGTCAAAATCAGAAAGCCTCCTGGGGAAGGTGATGGTCCAGTGTTGCAGAGTGGGAAGCCCTGGTTTTGCCAAGCACTTGTAAGCTGGCCAAAGCTGGATGTGCCTGGCAAACTCAGCCTCTGTGTAGACACAGCATGTTCCTGCTGATGTGTGTGTCTGGGAACAGCCGAGCTGCTCACCAGGGATCCAGGAAAAGCAGGAGTTTGACAGCAGCACCTCCTTCATTCATGTAACACGTACACAGAAGTAACTGTCAGAAGGGAACTTGCTGGCGGCCTCTGTGGCTGGTGACAGCATCTCGGTCCTCTGAGCTTTGTGCCACCATTTGAAATAGGATCCAAGATGAGCAAGGAGTGAAAAGTGATGAAGTGTGCTGAAAGCTTATTGAGGCCATTCATACCAAAAGGCCAGTATGTCATCTGTGCCCAGGGAGGGTGGGATAAAAGGATTTTCCCAAAATGACATAAAACAGAAAATCAAGGAGGGATGCCAGTGCTGCGCTGCAGCCTCTGTTACCTGCTTGGAAACACTGATTCTTCCATGGTTTTCTGGTGGTGGCTCCTCTGTCTGCTTGAAACAGCTTAATTTCACTCCATCCTAAGGACACCTGCTATAAAAAAAAGGGATATTGAGCCATCCTGGAGCACAGGGCATGCTGGGGCAGTCCTGGTCACCATGCCATGCTCGGAAGCTTGCATTCCTGTTGGGACAGAGCTGGGAAGGCGTGAAAACCAGCCAAAGCCCAGCCAGCAGCTGCCAGAAGGTCCCACTCCTGGCCCTGCCACACTCCTCAGCTCCAGGAGGTGATTAGTGAATGATGTGGTTTTGTTTTAATTGGAATGGGGGCATCATCTTGTTACTGCCTTTTATTGCTTTATGGTCTATTTTCTGTGTAGGTGATGAATTTATGGCTTGCAAGGGCAGCAAGCAGTGGCAGGATGCCTGGCTCACCCTGCACCACTGACACACGGGATTCAGCAGCTCTGGATTGCATCCCAGTGCTGGCAGGACTGGGAATAGCTCATGAGATCCTTGTGGTCTCTCTTCCCTCTGATCACAGTCTATTTTCCAGCACCCCTTGATCCTAACCTGATTCCTGGTCACGGTGCAGAGCAACACCCCGGTCATGCTGATACCCCCCTTCCCCTGGCTCTGCCCTCCCTTTGGGCTCGTCTCAGCTGTAGCACCTCGTGCTGTTTGACCTCTTGCAGTGCTCTGATGTGTGCTCCTGTGTGGCAGGTGCTCCCCGAGGGATAGCTGCGAGCGAGCAGACGAGCCGTACCGATTTGCAGGCAGCATCAGCCAGTGCATGACCGTCACCGTGCAGCCCAGCAGCATCTCTGTCTCCGAGCACAGCCTGCCGGTAAGTGCTACTGGCCAGGGGTAGACTTGTTGGGGAGAGGTTCATAATGAGCAGCCCATTCTGCTTCCCATTGGCACAAATGTTTTCTCATGAAGTCAGGCTCGCAGAGGGGCTGTGAGGGGAGAAAGGGGTCACCCGAGCCAGGGAAGAAACAAATTCCCCTTCCCCTTAGGCCTCAGCTCACATTTCTCTTGGTCTGGTTTCATGAGCTGTTGAAAGGAAAGGCTTTGTTTCCCCCAAAGCTCATCTGTGAGCTGTGCTCAGGCCTGGCTCAATGAAGCATCCCAGCTGTTGCTCTCAGAGCCTCCCAGCACCCCCTGGCAGCTGGTCCTGCTGCAGCCCCTGCCTGCTCCCCGCCGGCACTCGGTGATGGATGGTGTGGGGCTCTGGGAGGCCACTCAGCCCTTCCCACATGGGTTTTTCATGGCCACTGTCCCCAGTCATGATGGGATCAGTGGGGACTTGCTTCTGATGGCCACACGAGCCTCAGGCAGGGCTGGATCTCCTGTGCATGCAGAAGGCTGTTGTGGGGCAGTCACTGCTCTCTCATGCATGAGAGGGCAACGTGCTGCTGCTGCTGTCACAGGTTTCTGTGTGAGGGTGGCAGTGTTTCTGTAGAGCAACCAGGGGGACAGAAGCCTGCATTTGCCACCTCTCCTGAACCGCAGACCCCCCCAGGCTCAGCAAGGTGGGGTTTGTAGCAGTAAAGAACCTTCATCCTTGGCTGGCTTCCACCTCTGCTTCCCATGAAGGGCAGTTGGCCAGCTCCTGTGGGTGGATGGGTCATGTAGGGGGATCAGTACTGAATGCGGAAGCAGCAGATGCTGAAAATACAAAGGCAACTGGGGCAGCTCTGCCTGCTAACAGGTTCCTGGCTGTGTTTTGTCTCCTTCTGTTGCTCCGCTCCCTGCTGCAGCTCAGCCTGCTCGTGAGTGATGCTCCGGACCTGTCAGCTGGGGTCACCTGCCTCTTTGGAAACCTGACAGAGGTGGAAGGGCAGGTTTCGGGCAGCCGAGTGGTGTGTGTTTCACCAGCAGCAAAAGATGTTCCTGCCATACCCGTGGAGCAAGGTAAGTCACTGACTTCTGGACAGTAACACAACGGCTGAGCCACAGCCTTGCCTCTCGGGGTGGATCTGGAGTATGGGAGCCCTCCCCTGGGCCTGGCTCAGCACCCACGAGTAGGTGGATGTAGTTTCTATTTTCCGGTCCCGATCTTTGGGTTGTTTCTTCATTAATGTCACTGCTGTCAGATTCTCTCTTCCCATAACCAAAATGCTACTTGCTTAAAACTCATTTTCTCCTTGGCATCCTTCCATGTGTCAACTGTATTTCCCTGCTGGTATCTTTGTGTTTCAAGGGATTATATGGAGCCGAAGACTGGTGAACACTGGGGCTGAGAGCTGCCATGATAGTAGTGCTAGCGCAGACTTACAGCAGCTCCAGAAGAGCAGTCTGCTCTTAATTAACTCAGTGCTAAGAGCTTCGCTAACGCCCTCATTTCCAGCATTGTCTCTTATTCAAGTCTTAGGCTGCTCCTCAGTGGTTTCATACTGGAGACAGAATCCTTTAGGGAACAGGCTGAGATTCCAAAATCATTTTGACCGGGACCCAGTGCAGTGCTTAGACCCTGTCTCTCCAATGCATTTTGCCATCAAGCCTGATTGAGTTTGGAGGCATTGCTGGAGACAGCCAGCCAGGCACCATGGGGTGCTCGAGGGCAGGATCTGAGGGGGATGCTCAGCCCCCAGCCTGGGGAACTGCTGCAGACTCACCATGGGGGGAGCAGGGAGATGGAAGCTACCTGACTTGCACCTTCTACCCCAGGAGCGGATGGCTGAGCACACTGACAGGTGGGGAGTGGGTGCCTCTGTGTCTGCTGTTGCTTCCCTCCTTACTGCTGGCAGGACTGATGGGCTCTGGTTTGCATCCCCAGACTGGTTCGGCGTGGTGCTGCAGCTGAAGTCGCGGGAGACCGGGAGGATGTTTGTCAGCACGGAGTTCAAGTTCTACAACTGCAGTGCCCACCAGCTGTGAGTGCTCCCTTCCCATCCCTGAGCAGAGCCAAACACCCTCTGAATCAGAATCCCAGCCTGGTTTGGGTTGGAAGGGCCCTTAAAGCTCATCCAGCTCCAGTCCCTGCCACCTTCCACTGGAGCAGCTTGCTCCAAGCCCCCGTGTCCAAGCTGGCCTTGAGCACTGCCAGGGATGGGGCAGCCACAGCTTCTCTGGGCACCCTGTGCCAGCGCCTCAGCACCCTCACAGGGAAGAGCTTCTGCCTAAGAGCTCATCTCAGTCTGTGAAATGGATGCTGGGCTTTGGGATCAGCTGGCAGGGTTATTGCTCTACTTGGTTCATCCAGCAGACACGTGCGTTTGAAGGGGAGCCCACCAGTGTCTGTCTTCTCTGAACTTCTCTGGGTGCTTGTGTTGCTTTCTGTGCCTTGGGAGATGCAGGTGGAGCGAGCCTGAATAAACCTTAACCTGCTGGTGCCCCCAAGCTGCGCGATCCTGCAACTGTGAACTCGGATGCAGCTTTGCAGGCAGCTGGTGGAGGCAGAGCAGAGGGCGCTGAGATGGGCTGCAGGCAGCCAGAGGAGGCAGAGCCCTTCCACACTGCGCTGCCCAGGAGAGCAGGGTGCTGGCTGCTGCGAGGATGCTCTAAAACACCAGCATCGGGCTGCTCCATGTGGGGCTCAGTGCTACTGAGCATCGTGGCAATGTATCCCCCATGAACACAGCATTCAGCTGCCTGGCCTTAAGAACAGCTTAAAAACCTGAAGTACTGAGCGGAGGTACCAGGATGAAAGGAGCCCTGTGAGTCCTTCGGTCCCCACATGGTGCCTCTCCATGTACCCATTACCCCAGTGATTCTGTTGTGCTCCCTCTTGTGCACAGCTCTGTCCTTATGTCCTTGCCCCTCAGCTGGGCTCTCCAGCACCAACCTCTCCTGGCTGTGATCACTTGCAGTCCCTCCAGCAGTTCCTCTGCATCCTCGTGGGTTTGAATTTGTATGAGGGATGGCATCACGGAGACCCCTGTTTACACTTAGAGTTTGAATCAAGAAAGGCAATTTATCTTCCCTGGCCTGTCATTTGGCTTCATCTGACCATGCCTTTCCACCAGCTTGTATCTGGAGATAAAGTGCTAACGGGGTGGTAAATCTTGCAGCACTTGGATCATACCAGACTCGTTATCAGGGAGTTCAACAAGGGCAGGAGCCAGCCTGGCAGGAATAAATCACAGCATGCAAAATGGAGGAAGGAAAACAGGTCTCAGCCAGCGGAGAAGAGAGACCTATTGATCCTGAGACTTCATTGCAATGAAGGCCATGGGCCTGTGTGATCAGAGGTCCTCCTCCCCTGGCACCACTTGGGAAAGCTGGAGGCCAGGGTGGGGCAGGAGGGAGAAGTGCTATGGACTGAAATGGGTCAAACAAATGAGTAATTAAAAAAGCTTGCAGCACTGGATATCCTTCTCCAGATTTGCATGTGCATGATTAGAATAAGCTTCCTTAGCTATTAAGGTCACCAGGAATGCCTCAGAAGGAAAACACAATTGAGGTATTAAAACTCAAACGTGTCCTTGTGGCAGCAGCCTGTGAGAGGCATTGCCCAGCTGGCAACAGAGCCTGTGCCCTGAGCCCTGCTTTCCTCATGTTCCAGAGTTTTCTGCCTAAAGCCATACTCCTGCTTCCTTGCTGATGCTCATCTGCCTGCACTGATGCTGGGATCACTCCAGTGCATCCCTGCCCACTCCAGACAGCACCGTGATCTCTGGAGCTGCAGGTTACACCATGGAGCTGAATACCACAGGCACAGCTTATGCAGACTGTCACCAGAACAGTGCCACATGGCACAGAGGGCTGGCCTCAGAGACGGAGGAGGGGGTCACTGCAGGTATCAGCAGCTCTCATGGAGCATGTGTCTAAGGGGCAGCCGGTTAGTGTGGAATGAGCCCCCCCCAGGCAGTTCGCTGGCAGCTGGGGCCACCCCATGTCTGAAAAGGGTCTGTGTTCTTTCAGAAGCCTTTCATAGACAGTTAATTTCTCCCAACGTGAATCAAAAGTATTCTATGAAAGCACTTGCTGGACTCACTGTGCTCCAAGGCCGAGCAGAGGTGTTACTGTTGACTTGAAGCGTTCCTGACTTGTAAAACAACTGATCCAGTTTTTCCCAGCCTTGCCTTGTTTTCCACTTTCCAGGAACTAAAAAAAAACCCCAAGTCTGGTGCCTGTGCAATATTGTGCCTTGACACCAGTGCAATGACGTGTAATAAATCCCAGCCTCTGTTTTATTAGTGAATGAATTGCTTAAACTGTCTCTTGAGCATGTGTTTTCCCAAACGTGTCTGTTGGAACTAACCGTCCCTCCAAAGGAATTGCTTTCCCATGAAGGAGCCTGGGCTCCTGGCTGGGCCTGTCTCTTATCCTATAGCCCCCCCCCAGGTGATAACCTCCTTTAAAACTCCTCTTTCTCCCCTCAGGTGCCTGTCTTGTGTGAACAGTGATTTCCGCTGCCACTGGTGCAAATACCGGAACCTCTGCACCCACGACCCCACCACGTGCTCCTTTCAGGAGGGTCGGATCAATGTCTCTGAGGTACTGGACCAGGGGTTTAGCCCTTTCTTCTTTGCTTTTCTATGGTGCAGGTGGCATAACCAATGTAATGTGAAGTTCTTCAGCTTCCCATGGGTCAGGGCACCTCTCTTGGCTGGTATTGAAAGTGCAGATGTGGCTTTAAAGGAGCGTGGGAAGAAATGGTCAGTCAAGCTAAAGCGATGCGTCTTGGAACTCCTGATGGCAAGCAGCAGGTCAGATGCAGAGCTCTTGGTGGGACCCATTCAGTGGGTTGTGTTGGCAGGTCTGATATTTATGGCAGGAGCTTGACTGTGAACTGATTAAGAAGGGAATTACAGACGTGAACAGCCCCAGAGTTTGGAAAAGAGAACTGATGCAGGTTCCAGCACTGTGGAGCACGAGCCATCTCTCTTAACAGTTAATAAAAGGTGCAGGGCTCAAGTCCAAAAATGCTTTTAATGGTTGGAAGGAGGTATAGCCCATTAACAGCTCTGCCAGGTCTCCTGCATGTCCTGAGGCAGAGGGATCCATGGATGAAAGGAGTTTCTGATCAATTCCTGATCAAAGATTACCACTAACCCCTTGGTCTGAGGTTTCTGCACCCGTTGTCTTGTCCAATTCCCACACCACTGCCTGCTTCAGGCTCACTAGAGACAGAGCAGATACAGCCTCCGATGCTGGTAGCGTTCTGGTCTTCATCCTTACTGCCCCTCCACTAGCTTTGTAGTACCTGAAATGAGTGCAGGTCCTAAAGCACTGAGGAGATAAAAGAGGGTTTAAAAAGTGCTTTGAAAAATGTTGTGGTTTGGGAAGTGGGAAAGGCAGGAGTGAGGACATACATGAATCTTAGAAGAAAGGACAGTTAGGGTTAGCCAGCATCTGGACAAACCCTTATGAGTAACAGACACAGTGGAAAATGAGATTGGTCAGTGGAGTAGCACACTGACCTGTTAAAAAAAAAGTGGCTTTAGCTGCTGCTAAACCAGTAGTAAACTTGAAGCTTAACTTGGGGTCTTTGTGGTTAAAATGCTGCCAGAAGGCACATGGATACAAGGCAAGAAATGTTAACGGACTGCATGTGCAGAGACCTCAGTGAGAACCAAGGGATGGACAGCGTAACAGGGAGCCTTGGTGGTGGCAAGGGACAAGGACACTCCAGCAGCAGCCTCAGAGAGTTGTCAAATGCAGCAAAGGGAATGGATACCCAAGGGGAAGCATCCGTCCTGGGGACAAACCAAAAGCTTTCTCAGCCCAGTTCAAAGTCAAGCAACTTCCTTTCAGCACAAGAGAAAGCAAAACCCTTTGCTTCTCCTTCTCTTGAGCTATGTGCAGGTTTTTCTCCTTCACGCTCAAAGCATCGCTGTCTTCCCAGGCTTTACAGCTGTAGTTCTCAGTTCTCTAGGTCTTCAACCCCATGATCTCAGAAGTGTTTGAGAAGTCTCTGGTAAAGCAGGACAATCCCATTAGCTCAGTTTTCCTCCTGGGAGCGCTCAGGGCTTGCCTGAGATCACACAGAGGAAGCGAGTGGAGGAGTTGGTGTCTCTGCCGGTTCCTGCTGGGATCACAGGACTGTTGCATCTCCAAAGCACTTCCTTTGTCATCTTCATCTTGTAGAGGTTGTTTCTTACCAGGGATGTTATGTGCTATTTCATGTGCTATCACACCTTCCCAGTGATACCTTTTGATAAGGGCTGATGATTAATGATACAGATGCTCCACTATTCATCCTGACTTCTCCAGACCTCTGAACACACAGGCAAAACCAGCCACCAAAAGCCAATTTGCTTGCTTATTTAAAGCACACACAGTGCGGTGCTAATGCCTTTATTACAGGCATTTCACTCCAGCTAGCACAGGACATGAAGTAAATGCTTCCTAAAGAGTTTCCTCTCTGAAAACAATTCACGTCACAGTGTTTTCACTGTGGCATGGCCTGATGTGTTAGCAAAAGGTTTGTTCTTACCAGCATCGCTCCCTTCGTAGCAGAAGGTTGGGTTTGGAGCCAGAGCATGGTGATAACCATGGCAGTGCCTCCACCATGGAGCGAGCAGCACCAGCATGTGCTGCCCTACTTTCAGTCCCATGTGCCTCCCTCATGTAAGATTTACACGTTCACACGGGGGTGGAAGTTTTCTTGTGCCTTTAATTTAACAGAAAATACCTTGAATATTCCCTCTTACTCCTGGCCCATCAGAATCTGTGTCCCAGTGGGATTTGATGCGTAACAAACTCCCTTTGAAGCTCCTATCTTGAGGAGGGAAAATTGCTCAAAGCCTCAGCTGCTTTACAATGCGATAAGGGAAAGAAGGCCCTTCTTCATGAGCTGTACACTTGCTCCTTGTCATCTTCTGGTTGTACTGACCGAGGTAAAGCATAGAATCACAGGTTGGATTTGGAGTCACGTGTAGATAAATACAGGACCCTTCAGAGCCTTTAAAGCAGAGATGTCTTCAGGGCAGAGCTGGTTTTTAACATCCTCCAGCTGGTGGGAAGTGTCTGACATGGGGTAAATGCAGCTCTTTTGAGGCCTCTGTTTTCAGGTGGTCAGTTAATAAGTAGATAAGCAGCTCAGCCTTTCCTTAGCCTGAGGCTTCATTTCTCCACAAGGATGCCTGCTTGGACATTACTGTCCAAAGAGCAGTGGGAAGGCAAAGGGGCTGGCTTGCACCCACAAAAGCAGAGTCTCTTTAAGAAGAGGTCTGTGGGTGTGTAGCACTGCCTGTTTCACTTCACAGAGCTTTGGATCAGGCCTGTGATAGTGATGTTTTAATGTGTCTGAGGTGCCTGGGTTAATGTGTGTGAGGCTGTAAAATGTCTCTTTTAAAATGTATAAAAGAGGAATGTAGATACATAAACATCCTCACAGCCCATCCTAGTGGAGCCCAGAACCATGTGCATCCTGTTAGTTACCCTGAATGTGGGATCCTGTCCCTCTTTCATGTCCACTGAGTGCAGACTCCTTTAAATTCTCAATCCTTTCAGAGCAACACCTTGGCCTCTGGCTGTGCCCTTAGATGCCAAGAGCTGCTTGATGTGCCTTTAAACCAAAATCAAACTTCTTTATACCTGTTTTCCTAATCCACATTGTTGAATATCTAAATGGGAACTGTGGTAATTAAGAGACAACTCGGAGCCACATCCAAGTCCACCAGAGTCAGCAGCTGACTTTGCTGGGTCGCACCTAACTTCTGGAGGGATGTGATTGTCTGACAAAGTACCATATAGTACCAATGGTAACAAAAACATCACAGTACTTCATCCATGAATGGGTTACAACGCGTGTACAGCACAGAGCTCAGGACAGAAGGGCACTGGGTAGGAGTTGCCTTTCTTTTCATGTCTGGTTTCTAAGGAGCAAGGTCTACTCTCCTTTCCAGTAGCATAAATGAAGAATAATGTGTTTCCCTGAGTGACAGGGTCTGTAATTTGCATCACTGGGAGCACAGCTGGGAGCCAGAGGTTTACATTCATGTGCCAGATTCATTTATGTTTATAACTTTCAAGTATGTGTAGCAAGTTAACATATGTGGAGAGCTGGGTTTTTGAAGATGAAAAGTATGAAAACAGTATATTTTCTTCTATTTGGGCTAAATCCCATTTCTAGGCATTTTTTATTCAAATAAGAACAATATTTGACCTACTAAAACTGCTCTGCTTTAAATACAAATACTAACCATGGGTGCTGTGTCCTACTCCCGAGCCATGCGTATTGAGGGGGGCTTTAAGATATTTATAGACCTGGGAATCTTTGAGGCTAAAACGTGTTGAAGAAGCATAAAATGCCTTTGTAAATGGTGTGCAGTGATACTTCATAGGCAGAGTCTGTGCCACTCCTGCGTCAGACGCTTGTCTTTCTCCAGCAGATTTGTGTTTATTCTGGTGCACAGAAGTCAAGCAGGATAATGAGAGGATTCAGGATGTGTTTGTTTAGCAAGAGGAGGCGGTAATGGCCTTTCTAACTCACTGCAGGCTTTGCTTCTCATGAATTAAAAAACAAAGTAAACTGATCAGGGAACAAATTGCATATTCTGGCTGCAGTATCCCTTTTTCTGTATTTTCTGGATGCTCAGCTCTTCCTGGTGCGGGGAAGTGCAGAATGAAGCTCTACAAACAGGAGCTGCCTCCCTGGTGCTTCCCAGCACTGTGCACCCCGTGTATGCCTCTTCTTCACCAGAATCCCAGTGTAAGATTTTTTTTTCCCACTGAAAAACAAAGGGAAAAGTATCTGTTATGTCCTACGCACCTCTGATGATGGCAGAGCAATTTTTGCTACCAGCATTTTAGCTCTAGAGAGCAGATTTCAAATGTAAGTCCTCTCCCATGTCTCTAAAGAAAGAAGCATTTCTTTAGCAGTCGGCTCACGAATGGCAGTGGCCAGGAAGGATAATGGTCCATAACATATTCATTATTTTCAGGACTGTGCACTGAGGTTCTCCCACTAGTGGTGAGACTGAAGGTTTTTTGTTTCCAATCATGATGTGCTAAACGATTCTGGGGCTGCAGGTTGTCTTTATGCCTTTTCTCCCAAAGATGGGCTTTGCACAGGGCTGGGGGCCAATCTGTCTCCTGTTGGTCCTGGATATGACTTTGAGGTTAAATGCAAACCCTTAAATGCAGCCGGATCTAAAGCAGGAGGAGGTACAGGTGTGTGGTGCATCCTAGAATGTACATGCAAAGTCCGCTCAGGATGGATGGAAGCCTCCATGAATCCTAGGAGTTTGCTGGTTGGTGGTGCAAAGGCTGAGCTGAGGGTTAGATCCATGATAAGCAGGGTCTGCAGGAACCTCTGAGCCAAGCAGCACAGTGGCAGTCCCTTCCAGCCTGTAAACCTGCTCCAGTGCAAAAAAGGGCTTTTTTTCCCCTTCCCAGCATAGCTGCTTTCTGGACATTGGAGTTTAAACTTGCTCTTGGCTGTTAATCCGTGAAAGTCCCTGTTAGGAATAAAATCAAAAATATAGAAGGCAAAGTGCCACTAAAAGGGTTTATGAGGCAGCGGTTCCAGCTCCTGCCTTCTCCAAACTGGAGTAGCATCTGGTTCTCATTTAGTACTTGCCTGAGCCAGTAGTGAAACAGCATCCCATCGGCCTGGCTGGGAGCTGGGAAGGGAACGTGGCTTGGCGTGTGTCACGGTCGTTAGTGGGAAGCGGGGATTTTCTCCCTGCATAGGCAGTGCTGGTGGGAGCCCGGGGAGGATGGTGATGGCTCTCTTTGTGCTGGCATCTGGGTGATTGACTTGAATCGCTTGGCAGGGTGGCAAGGGCCTTGGGATGCCAGTGTGGGATTTGGGAGAGGGAAGGGAGATGTCAGTCCATTTTTATACTTCAGTTTGGGATTAATCCTTCAGTGTCAGATGCTTACAGGTACTTAGGTATCTAGTTCCGTTAGATCAAAGCAAATTAGAGCTAAACCATATGTAAATACTTCTGATGGTCAGAGCCTTTGTTCTCTGTGTGCTGCAGTTCTGGGTATGTAAATTGAGAAAAACCTGTATCTTCTGGTGTGCTATGAAGAGATAATGTTGAGGATATTGAGATCTCATGGGAGGAATGTTGTACAGTTATCAGGCACTGACAGGTCTTGCTTTGCTGTTCATCCCAGCTGTGGCTGCCCCATCCCTGGCAGTGTTGGAGGCCAGGTTGGACACAGGGGCTTGGAGCAAGCTGCTCCAGTGGAAGGGGTCCCTGCCCATGGCAGGGGGGTTGAACTGGATGAGTTTTAAGGTCCCTTCCAATGCAAACCAGCATGTGGTTCTATGACCTAGTTCATGCTCATGGGGACCTGGAGATCTGCTCATCTGTGGAATGATGATTGCAGGGAGAGTGTCCTTTTATTTTGCAGACAGCATCTTGCATAGCAAAATCTCCTGCAATATTAAAACTTGTTATTAATTTACAGTTGCATGATTTTGGACAGACAGTGGCAGAAGTGAAGCAAATCACTTCTGTGTACTTAATGTTTTAATTGCTGTGCTTAGTCTTCAGAATACGTAGTTTCGGAGGCAGCATCATTTTGCTCTTTTCTTTGCTCCTTTACTGCAATCACACAGATGTTTGAAATATTTTCATATGGTTTTCAATGGAACACTTAAAGACTGCTTCTAGTTTTGTGGTATTTTTTGTACCCAAAAACCAGGCTGTTTTCAGGGATTGGGGAACTATCCTTACACATTCCTTCACTGCATTGAGCTCTGAACTCCTGAGCTTTAACTTGTTTATAGAATGATCATCAAGGATGAAGTCCCATTCTTTATGTGAAGTGAATGAAGTGAAATGAAATACCTATGTACTGTTTCGTCTTAGCCCCGCTGCCTCCCTTCTCCTCCTCCAGGATCCTGCTGAGCAGCCTCTGCCTGCTCCTGGAGCTCAACATCCCTCCCTTTTCCTGGTTGTCTCCTGAAATGCCTTTGCTCTGGCCTGGCAGGGTGATTGATAGTTCTGTGAGGCTGTGGCTGGAATACACTTCCCAGTTTGCATTTGACTTGGAAAATGCATTATTGGAGCAGCTCCTGATTGCATCCTGGAGGTGCAGAAAGACTTTGATCTGCAGCAGGAGCTGGTGTGTGCTGGTTTGAGTCATTGAGCTTGGCTGGGACATCACCTTCCTCCTGCCCATGGGGCTGTGCAGGCCAGCAGTCTGGGTTTGCTCTTGCTGATGCATACAGCTTGGGGTGCCTGTGTCCCAGGAGGTGGAGGCTTAAGTCTCAGAATCACAGACTGGTTAGGGTTAAACTGGTTTGGACCTTAAAGCTCATCGAGTTCCAGCTGTGAGCTGCAGGCAGGAGCATCGCAGTGAGCTGGTGGGATGTTTCAGAGGTGTCGGAACATGGCAGGGGATGAGAGCAGATAGAGCAGAAATTAACATCACCCCAGAAATTAATGGCACACTTGGAGGCATTTTACTCAGATAACACAGAGGAGAACAGTACCTGGTAGCGAGAGGGAAGCACATCCCATGCTGCGCATAGCCGAAGGGTGTAAGGATGAAATGGGATTAGAAGCAGCCCAGGGACTGAGAGCAGCCCACTGCCCTCCTGGAGCAGTGGGGCTCAGGCAGAGCTGGAGCAGCTGATAACACACGGCCACTGCTGCAGGAGGGCAGAGTGAGAGCGTGTGTCTCTGCAGATAAAACCCACGGCAAGCTCAGAGCAGGGGGAGTGCCTTCCATGGATTCCCTGAATAGCAGCGTTCCTTCTGTGGTGAGAAAATCAGTGTCAGCCTCAACACAGGGAGACTGAGGGGGGAATCTTCATCAGGGAGTGTAGTGATAGGACAAGGGGCAAGGGGTTCAAACTTAAACAGTGGAGATTTAGGTTGGATGTAAGAAAGAAGCTCTTCCCTGTGAGGGTGCTGAGGCGCTGGCACAGGGTGCCCAGAGAAGCTGTGGCTGCCCCATCCCTGGCAGTGCTCAAGGCCAGGTTGGACACAGGGGCTTGGAGCAAGCTGCTCTAGTGGAAGGGGTCCCTGCCTGTGGCAGAGGACTGGAGCTGCGTGAAGTTTAAGGTCCTTTCAACCCAAAGTAGGCTGTGATTCTACGATTTCTGCACTTAACCTGCAGCTGCATCGGTGGACTGAGAAGTGGCCCGTGCTGTGCACCGAGGATGTGCTGGGACATCAGCCCTGGCCATCAGAGCAGGGACCAAGACCTGGCCGGAACTGGAGGTCACCATTACTGCTGTAACCTTTTCTTCTCTTTCATTACCCCACTAGGACTGTCCCCAGCTCTTCCCCACAGAGGAGATCCTGATCCCAGTGGGAGAGGTGAAACCCATCACGCTGAAGGCAAGAAACCTGCCCCAGCCCCAGTCTGGCCAGCGTGGGTACGAGTGTGTCCTCAGCATCCAAGGTGTGATCCACCGCGTGCCTGCCCTGCGCTTCAACAGCTCCAGTGTCCAGTGCCAGAACAGCTCGGTGAGGGACCAGCAGGCTCCCCAAACCGGGTGTCAGATGCGAAGGGCATGGGCTCAGCCACGGGGAGAGTGGAAAATCTGGAGTTAAACTAATCCTGGAGTTAAACTAATCCTGAATCCCTGGCGGGAACCTGCCGCGGCCATGTGAGGTGTTTCATTATAGCACCAGCTCGGAGAAGATCCTTTATCTGGCAGTTCCCTGTCTGACTGAGGGGGGTCAGCAAAGAGGAGGAGGAGGGAATGCAACCAAAGGTGTTAAGGCAGGCTAATTCACATGGGGGAGATAAGGCGAATCACAGACCCTTTATCGGGGAGCTGTCGTAATTCCAGGGCACAGTAGCTGCATGAATGCAGTAATGCTGAAAAGCAGCATGGTGCAGGGAAGGAGGGGGAAAGGAAAATTGCTGGGGGAGAGAGCACAGCGCAGCAGAGAGAGGGAAATCACCTGAATGATGCCGCTGGGGAAGCAGGCAGGGGAGGGTGGCTCTCCTCCATAGCCTGGGGCTTAGCCAAGCCAGTGGACCTGGCACATTTTAACCCAGAACACCCAAAGTCACCATGGCAGGTACTCAGGGATGGCAAAATGTGAATGGCAAATGCAGCCCATGTTTGGTCTCATGTGGCACACTCCAGCTGGAGGACTGCAAGGGAAGAGTGCGGTCCTTCCTCTCCTTTCCCATGATGTCCATGGGCAAAGAGGGCACGTTCAGTTTGGTTTAGGCAGCAGAACAGGGTCCACTTGAATATTCAGTGCAGATGGTCTTAAATTGTTAATGAAGTTTTGAATTTTTAACAATTTCACTGGATATTTATATATCATTGGCCATCTTTGGGCCTTGCAGCTTGGTAGGTAATAAATGTATTAATACTATAGAGTACTTTTCCTATCCAAAGAGATTTATAAACATTAGAGAAGCACTTTTATTCCTGTTAGGCTAATAGGAAGTGGTAGGTGGAGTATGTAAAGGCCATGCGGTACTCACAACTTACCACTTGTGCAGAAGACCTAGTTTCACACCAACTCATTACAGCCCAGGCCAGGTGAATCAGTACAACTGAATGTAGAAGTTAAAGCTGTACAACTACTGCACAGGGGACAGTCAAAGTAATCTGCTTTGGTTTTATCATCATTCCCTCATTCCAAAGAGGTAGGAATGTTCACTCCTCTTTTTAAGTCTCTTTAGCAGCTCTGGGTTTGCTGAAAGAGAATAACAGAAAAAAAAGCCTCATTGGTGCTCATTGTGAGAATGGGAATTTCAGATTCCCCTGGGAATTCACCTAAAGCATCCAGATTCCCTCAGCCACAGCCCCCAGGATGTCCATGCGAAGGTGAATAATTCGATCTGGTGCTACCCTAGACTGGGCTGAAGCAGAGATTGGGAAAGGACCTCTCTGCACCATCTGTCTTTTCTCAACTATTTCATCAGGCAGAACATTGCAGTGCAATTTTGGAGCTCCCAGTCACACTAGGGTGCATGGTGATTGTGTGAGAAGATAGCCCAAAGGCAGCAGTTCTTCCACTGTGATTAACTGGAGGGGCTGTATTGATAAGGTGGAGACTGAGTGACAAGAGCAACCACTGTGCGTGGAATAATTAATCTATTACCTCTCACAAGGACTAGATGTGATTTAATTATCTCTTCCTGGTGAGGAAGAGGAAGTCAAAGCAGAACCCTGGAGATGAAGTGTAGAAGTTTGGTGGTTCAGACATCAGCAGGTTTTGGGCAAAGAATAATGGTTTCTTTAAAAAAGAATTCTTTTCCTCTTATTGCCTCTGGTGCATTCTCCAACCATTTCATTCTCAACCTTCTCCTCCAGTATCTCTATGATGGGATGGACATCAGCAACTTAGCAGTGGACTTTGCTGTGGTTTGGAATGGGAACTTTGTTATTGACAACCCGGAGAATCTGAAAGGTAATGTCTGCTTGAGTTGGCTTTCAAGACATGGGAAGGAGGGTGGTGATGGGGCTGGAGTGTGGCTGTTGGGGCAGAGCAGCTTTAGCTGCCATCAGAGGCATTGTGGTCCTGGTGGATCTTGCTGTGGGTAAGAGCAAACTCACTTTGCTCCACTGATAGTGGTGCTCACTAAGTGCCACTGATACAGCCTTGGCTGTGGGAACCACATGTGCAAGTCCAGTCTGCAGCTTGCTAAGCCAAAGGATATTAGATATGGAAGGATATTAGATTTAGATATTAGGAAAACATTCTTCCTGATGGGAATATGGTGAGACAATGGAAAAGGTTGCTCAGAGAAGCTGTGGCTGCCCTATCCCTGGCAGTGTTAAAGGCCAGGTTGGACTTGGAGCAGCCTGTTCCAGTGGAAGGTGTCCCTGGAAGGTTGGAACCAGATGGTCTTTAAGATCCCTCCCAACTGAAACCGTTCCATGATTCTATGAAAACTCACCAAATGCCTTTGCTTGCTAAGTGCAGGAGCAGCTGCAGTCCCTGTGACTCCTTCAGTTCTTGACTTTGCACTCAGTGCCCGTCCCCTCTTCCCCGCAGTGCACCTCTACAAGTGCGCAGCCCAGCGCGAGAGCTGCGGGCTCTGCCTCAAAGCCGACCCCAAGTTCGAGTGCGGCTGGTGCAGCGGCGAGGCCAAGTGCACGCTGCGGCCGCACTGCAGCGCGCCCTCTGCACAGCCCTGGCTCGACTGGTCCAGCAGGAACGTCAAGTGCTCCAACCCTCGCATCACCGAGGTAAGAGCATCTCTGGTCCTTCTCCAGTCCGAGGCTGGGTTGGAGCAAGCTGCTCTAGTGGCAGGTGGAAGTGGACGAGCTTTAAGGTCCCTTCAACCCAAACCGTTCCATGATTCTCTTTGCTCCAGACAGAATGGATTAGTGTCTGTCTCCTCCTTTGTCCATCCGGTGCTGAAGAACAAGGAATAAAACACTCTACTGCTTCCCATGAAATTAATGTGCGGATCCAGGCACGTGGCTGGGATGCTCAGCCCACTGCCCCACAGGCAGCTGTCACTTGCCAGTGATGCTACCAGCATCGGGGTGACCGCTACGGACTGTTGCAAGAATGCTAATTAAACTAGGGAGCTAATTAGTCTATAGTTGATGCTTCTGCTGTTTCTGTTCAGACCACTGAGGGATGCAGAATGTCTCCCAGGAGCATTTTTACCAGTAAAACTCTGCTCAGTCTGTTAGCGTTACCATTAGGAGTGACACTCAGGTGGGGATGAAAGAAGACTTTGGTTTCTCACTTAATTAACTCCTCCTAAAATGCCTCCCTTGCCCTGAGTGTGTGGCCAAAAGAGCAGAAGGTGCTGGATCCAAGTAACCTGTTGCACTGCTGCTTGTGGTGGGGTAGCAGACAAGTTTCTGCCAGCTGAATAAGGACCCCAGTACAAATGGAAGTTGCCCTCTAACTCAGTTTCTACACCAGCTTAGCTGAAGTGACTCATTCTCACATCCCCTGGGAGGAAGGCATCAACCTCCTTTTAATGGAGGAGGGGAGGAAAACGCAGAGGCTGGTGGGGCCATATCGGGGCTGGGCATGGAGGAGGACGTGGCTGTGGAGGGTCCATCCATCCCCAGGGACATTAGCAAGCTTTTGGTATCTCTTTCCTAGACCTTCTCCCCAGCCACCCTGTATGTTTAATGGGCAGGTATTGTGCTGCGTTTTGTGTCCTGCAGAGTGGAGCTTGTGGGGCTGCAGAGGAGCAGAGGTGGCTCTGACCATGCAGAGACATGAAAGCATTAAGTAATGCTGAGACTCTCCTTTGGTGGGTTGGTTTGTTTGGCAAGTCATAGCTATCTTTACAGAGAGATAAGACGAGCCTTACAGGCTTGCCTTGATATTCACCTTGCCCTGCCAGTAGTCAGAAACCAAAGGTTCCTTATCTGAGTGCTGTTCTTCTTATACAAGGTTGTGGTATATGATGAAAGCAAAACGGCCTCTGCCCGAGATTTTCTTCACCATAACCCATTCAGACAGTTACAGTGACAAAGTCTTAGAAGTCATTTATTCACCCCTCCTAAGCTAAGCAGAGAAGGGGAAAAGCACTGCTCCAGCCACCCAGTGACTTGCATCTAAGCTCTGCCAGGTTGGCTGCAGGCATGGCGCTGCCACCAAGTGTTTTATCACCATCCAGCTCGAAAACAACGCTTTTGGTCTCTGTCCAAGGAGAAAAGAGCAAAGCTTTGCTGCTACAGATTTCTTGTCTCCATCACCAGGTCTGTGTGTCAGCCTTCAAAGCAGGAAGCGCAGGGTGCCTTGCCAGGGGATGTTCTGAGTCTCAGGAGATTGCTCTGAATGGATTCAGAGATGTGGGACTCAAGTAGGAAATCTGTGCTTTCCTTGCCAGATTGGCTATTGACCCCCAGAGAGGGTCAGCAATAGAAAACACAGGTTTCAGGGGGATGTATCATCCCATGGCCTCTGCTGACTGGCAGCGTTCTGAGCTGTGTGATTTGAACACAGTATTTGGCATTTTTCCTTGAACTCCATCTCCCGCCCTTCTCCGTATGAATTTACAGCTTTGTTTTTACTTATTCTTCAAGAAAAGTCAAGTTTTCAGTTTTCACTGTTGTAGAAAAAGGAGGAAAGGAGCAGAGGGAAGCAGTGGCCTTTTTGTGGGCTTTGACATCCACTGATGGGAAGGGCACTGAGAGGGCTGAAAATTCTTACTCCTAAACACAGACCTTTCAGCAGCACAGGTTAACTTCTCTTAGCCCTCTTCCCCTGGGGGTCTCTTGGAGACCATGAGACCTTTACAGCCTTCATTGCAGTTGGGTCGTTTTTGCTGCCATCTGAGTTGTTTCAGTCTTTTGGGTACCAGTTTGCCATGTCCAGTGCCTTTGGGGGATGCATAACTAGTAAGAAAAGATTCTGTTTGAATAGCCATATGAGTAAATGAGCAGCAGGATCTGTTCAGTCCTGTTTCTGAGTGAGAGGCCCAGCCATCACCCACAGTGTCCCTCTAACAGTGTAAAACTTCCACATGGTCTGTGGTCTGAGCAACAAGTAAATAACCCCCGTTTTCTTGTAAACAAGAGGCACTCTGATCTCCTACTTATTTATTTGCAGGCCTCATTAATATAACATCAGTGCAACAAACAGCTGAAGGGGGGGCAGTGTCAGGCTGAATAATGGAGTTGCTCTGCTGAGATAACAATTAGGCTCTGAATGTGCTATCAGCTAAAGCAGAGACAAGAAGGGATCATGTCGGGATGACAGTGCTTGTGTGCTGGTTCCCTGCTGGGCTCATCAGCTGGGACCCAGCTAGCTTAGAGCTGGATGAAAAAAGACAGAAGGAAGGTAGATGACATTTTGGGAGGGGGCAGGGGTTATGCCATTTATTCTGCAAGCCATGTGCTTGCTTTGCACCCCAACAGATGTTAGGGGTTATTGTGCAGAATGGTCTTAGGCTCGTGGCTTGCCTTAAGCTCCGGAAGGAAAACCCCATCCGATTCACAGCCAGCCCTAGGTCTCCTTGTGATGTGCACAGACTTCTCCTGGAGGCTAAATATTGCTTTATGTCATAAATGCTGACCCATGACGCTGAGATCATTTAGCCTGCATTGTTATACCAGTGTCTTCTGCAGGCTGGGGAGGGAAGTGTGCTAGCACTGTGTTGGGGCTCCTGGATCCCTGGGATGGCTTGGATTCCAACCTCAGGGATCCTCAGGATCCCTACCTTGGTTTCAAGAAAGAAGCAGGAACACCAGAAATGCAGTGGTGCATCTGCATCCCTTACGTGGTGTGAGTGCAGAGTGTGAGGGTAACCAAGCTCCTGCCACCAGCCACTTCATCTCTGTATTTGGATCCATTCTGTGAGTAACCCAATTCTTCACGCTTGGAGAAACCCTGGTCCTGAGCAGCAGGACCGTGCTTTGTTAGGGGTGGTGGATTGCTGATTTGTTTCATGCTAGGCGAGGCTGATGCTCAGGAGAGAGGTGACCTGCTCAGACATCAGCAGAAGCAGTGTCCCTGCCTCCCACACCCCACTCCCAGCAGAGGCGCAGACCCCTGAACAGTAGGTGTGGAATTCCTGGTGATGGCCTTGGCTTTAACTTAGGTGCTCTTTGCCGCTTCTTGTGCCCCTCCCCAGAGCTCTGAGCGAAAGCCACTCTGTGAGGTCTGGTGCTTGAAACTTGGGAATATTGCTTCCTAATCCTGTCTGTCTCGGGTGAGGAATATGGAACGTGATCACAGCCAGCCCTGCAGCTCCCAGGACAGGCAGGCTGGGGTTAGGGCAGCCCTGGGCTGGGTTTGCTGGAGATGCCTTTGCCACCACACGAGGAGGTGACCCAGGGATGCTGCTTGGAGGGGTCACCAGCGCTTGATGTGATGGGACCTTTAAGACTTATCTTCTCTCTGTGGTTTTGACTGAATCTCTCCAGCTGTAATTAATCGAATGCATCTGTTCTAACCCTGGGGCTGCTTTGTGGCACAGTTACTTCAAAACTGTTCAATGAGTGGTCACTAAAATCTAGGTCGAGTGGAGGGAGCTCCATATTGGGGATTTTCCAGGTCAGGACATCTTGAAAATACAGCATGAGCTCTGCTTTGTGTGGGGAGGCTCCACTGGCTGTGGGGAGGTCAGGAAACGGTAAACTGGGACTGCTTTTGAACAGTGATGAGACCACAAGTGCAAGTGCTCCAGCAAATGCATTTTAACATACTCTAGGGCTGCAAGGGACAGTTGTAACTGTCAAGTACGTGAAGTGCCGAGCTCAGGTAATTCCCATTACCAGTGCAGGCCTTCAGGACTTGGTGTAATGCAATCCGATGTGATTTTGTAGTGTCTTTAAAGGGCACACAGAGCTTCACGGAGCTAAATGGTACAAAACCTGTGACGTGGTGTGAGTTACAGAAAGCAGCAGCACCACAGAGAGTGTATGGTGAATAAATCAGCAGCCTCAGTCGTGTGGTTGAGGGCAGAGGGAGGTAGAAGTTGGAGTCTACACAAAGGAAGGAGGCGGGGGGTTGATGTTTGGTGTATGGAGCAGGCTGAACCCCAGCATGTGTGGCCAAATCCCATTCAGGAAGAGATTTTGAAGAGCTCAAGTCGTTTGCCAAAGACAGGGCCGGAACAAACAAGCCTGAACAAGATTTCTCCATTAAATTAATTGAATTGCATTACTGTGGATTATGTTTGTTTATGGATAACAGCTGTAGCACAGGGAATACTGGTAACTCACCCAAGAGAAACGATGGACCGGTGGCAGATTAAGGATGACTATTTGACAGTCTTGGGTCCAAATTTTGTGGCGTTGCATCATTGTAATTTATCCTCCTAATTGAAGAGGATAGTGTCCTTAATGAAAGTCTATGGGAGCAGAGATGATTATGGCTGAGGCAGGCTATAAACAGGCAGCTTTAAAGTACACACCTCACACTTTAACATTTCTAAGTCACTTGAGGTGCCAACCCCCTAATAAAATGTGACATTAACGTTCAGGGAGCAGCCAAGGCAGGAGTTACAGATCTCCAAAGCAGCAGGCTACTTCTGAAGGGTAATTTACCATATTCTGGGTGTATAAAAGAAGTCAGTCTCATCCTTCTGCAAGGCTTTCTGGGGGGGATAGCATTGCCCATGCCTCTCGGCCAGCTCAGGGACCATGATGTCCTCCTTTGGAGCATGGCACAGGTGGATTTCAGCATCACTGGGCTTCTCAAAGACATCCAGAGAAGTCATGAGAAGGTGGCAGTGTCCTGGGTTGGGCAGCAGGAGGAGGTGGAGGTCGCAGCACTCGGCATCCCTGAGCAGCCCGTGGAGCAGACGTCTGGACATCAGCTCAGTATCCCTGTGTTCTGTTTCCCTCTAGATCCTGACGGTCTCGGGCCCCCCAGAAGGAGGGACGAGGGTGACCATCCGTGGTGTGAACCTGGGCCTGGACTTCTCAGAGATCGCCCGTGGGGTGCAGGTGGCCGGGGTGCAGTGCACGCCGCTGCCCGAGCACTACATCGTCGCCGAACAGTGAGTGGCTTCATAGACCCCACCTGTGGGTCCCCAGGGCTGGCCAGCCCACACAAAGCCTCTTCCCTGACCCCCAGCAAACCCACCCTCACAGGGAAGAATCTCTTCCTTACATCTAACCTCAATCTTCCCTGTTTAAGTTTGAATCCATCACCCCTTGTCCTATCACTAGAGTTGAAGAGTCCCTCTCCAGCATCCCTGCAGGCCCCCTTCAGATACTGGAAGCTGCTCTGAGATACCCACTCAGCTTCTCTTCTCCAGGCTGAACAACCTGAAGGGAATGAGGTGCTTGGATGCTCTCTGGGGGTGTCCAGCAGCCGTTTAAGCTGTCATTAAGTGTTTTTTTTCCTTCCACACCAGCATTCCTGCTTTGCTAAGCAACTTTTCTGATGAGCACCTTGCTGCTGATGCTGAGCTCTGCCCCTTCTGCTCCCCACTGTATTTGAAATGCAGGCGATGCTGCTGCCCGCACACAGCTATCTGTTAGGCGGGCGAGGCGGTGACAGCCGCTTAATCTGAATGGGCCTCCACTGGAGTCAGTTCATTTATTTCACTAAGGAAAACGTCAACCAAAAATTAGAGAACAGGCACTGTAAGAGAGGATGGGCGAGCAAACCTCCCGGAGTGACATGTGCTCCTGGGGCTGTTGCCAGGGGGGTGCTCAGGGGTGTGTTAAGGGTGATCTGGGCAGAGTAGGAGGGGAGCAATACATGATGTCTTATAGAATGGCTTGGGTTGGAAGGAACCTCAAATCTCATCCAGTTCCAGTCTCCTGCCACAGGCAGGGACCCCTTCCACTGGAGCAGCTTGCTCCAAACCCCTGTGTCCAACCTGGCCTTGAACACTGCCAGGGATGGGGCAGCCACAGCTTCTCTGGGCACCCCGTGCCAGCGCCTCAGCACCCTCACAGGGAACAGCTTCTGCCTAAGAGCTCATCTCAGTCTCCCCTGGGGCAGGTTAAAGCCATTCCCCTTGGCCTGTCCCTCCCTGCCCTCTGAACATCTCCATGGCCTCCTCTGGACTTGCTCCAGCAGCTCAACTATGAAGGGCACTATGGGCATGCAGAGCATCACTGATGTTATTGCAGGAACAGCTCCAACCACTGCACCACCAGTGCTGTCACTGCTAGTGGATTGGGCTGTTCTGCTGAGCAGTGTTTTGTTTTATTTTTCAAATAAAGGATGGAAGATTATGAAATTATCCTCCTTTGATGGTATGAAACCCTGATTTTATAATCATGACTCTAATTATGGCTCTTGAGCTTTCGAAGTTTGTTAACATCATTAAAACATTTACCCTGGGCAGATAACAGCAAGCATTAGCAGGAGAGCTGTCTTTTAAAGATGAAAACAGATAATAGGACCCTCTTAAGGGTTCTGTGGGCAGACTGAATTCCAAGACTGTAATGACGCACCATATGCTCCAGCCACGCAATCTATCAGCCAGCAATTAGGTTAATGTTGGTGAAAGGGCCACTTAGCCCAGCAATCAGCACCCTACAGCTCTGCCGAATGCATCATTTTGTAACAAGGTACCTGCTGGGAATTTGGCTTTTATCAGGAATTGGGATCAGGTGTATCAGGTAGCTCATGCCCCACCCCGTGCCCCATTATGATGGCTGGTGCTGTACAGCAGCTGCTTTACTGGCAAATCATAGAATCATAGAGTAGTTTGGGTTGGAAGGGACCTTAAAGCTTATCCAGTTCCAACCCCTGCCACGGGCAGGGACACCTCCCACTAGAGCAGCTTGCTCCAAGCCCCTGTGTCCAACCTGGCCTTGAGCACTGCCAGGGATGGGGCAGCCACAGCTTCTCTGGGCACCCTGTGCCAGCGCCTCAGCACCCTCAGTGAAGAACTTCCTAAGATCTAATCTAAATCTCCTCTCTTTCAGTTGAATATTACATATTCAGTAGATATATTCAGTGTTTCCCTCCCTATATAGAACTTGGTGTATCCTTGCTTCTTGTGGGAGAAAACCCTCACTCTCCTCTCCTGCCTGTGGGGTGTCAGGAATCACTTCATCTTCCTTTGCCTATGTGCTGGCAGGAGCAGAGATGATTGCTCTCAAATGCCAGCCCTCCATCCTAGCCCACCGCCTGGCAGCACAGCAACCCTGCCAGGCTGCAGCAGGAGAAGCAATGAAATAGCAGAGAGGTTCACGGGCAATGTCTGGCTCAAAGGCAGAGAGAGGAGCACGTGGCAGATGAAGGCACGCAGCTGAGACGCTTCAGTTCCTGTTCTCCAAAGGCAGCATCTCTCTAGGCAACTCGTTTTGATATGCAGCAATAAGGACGTTCACATTAGAGCTCTTGACTACATGTGTGTATTTTGTTAGGCCTCCTGGCATCACCTGTGCATGCTCATCTGCAGGTTATTTTTCTTCCTTTAGTCTATTTTATGTTATTTGTAGTTAATTCAGTGCTGCTGACGGCAGCTGACATGCTGCCTCCACAAATTGGAGCCTTGTATGTGTTGGCACTTCATTGGCAGAGGAGTGAACAGTTTCCCTGCTGCTCTGCAGAGGTGCCTTTAGCCTCATGTGACAAACAATGCTCTGGCTCATCCTCTGACCCCACTGTCAGGGCCAGACACCAAGTGTCTCATCCCTGCGTTCCCCTGCCCCAAGGCAGGTTGCTCCTGTCCTCAGATTTCCAATGCCCAACGGGATTCTCTTGGATTTGTCTTCCCACTGCTGCTGCAGGAGCAGCATCCATCCCCTTTAGGTACAGCTAGAGAGCCCCACCAGCTGACATCCCTTTGCAAACCCCTCTCAAACCTGACAGGCATTCGCTCAGTCTCGTCTCCAGTCAATGTTACACATCCCCTGGGTTATGTACCATACCCACAGGGCCATGAGTTGTTTCCTCATCTTCCAGCCTGGCCTGCTGGGGTTAACCCAGCAGCTCGCCCTGTCCTTAAGTGCCCACAGGGCTGAGCTGGCCCACGGGAGGAGCGGATCAGTGTCTCCCCAGCAAATGCTGCTCTCCAGGGCTGTCTCTATCATTCCCAAGCAGGTTTCTCCTTTTTTTGATTAACTGGGAGACTGCAGCGTGAGCTGTTCCCTTAATGAACTCATCTGTTACTCTGAGGACTTCGCACTCGCTTTGCTGCTGGCTAATATATTGCCATTAGAGCTCTGCTTTGCTCTGGAGTTTACAGCTTGTAATAATTATGTCTAATTTTGATTTTTTTTTTTCCCCTTTAAATTATAACATGGGGTAAAAATAGACTCAGTAATTAACTTCCCCCAAAGAGGTAGATACCAAAGTTAAGGAAGAGGGGGAAGAAAGGGAAGGAAAAAGAAAGCCAGCCCTGCATGGGCACTGTTGGCATCTCCTGCCAAAGAGTCCCTGTGGCCTTTCTGCTTCCAGGATCGTCTGTGAAATGGGGCAGGCTCTTCCAGGGATCAGCTCCGGCCCAGTGCTCCTGTGCATCGGAGAGTGCAAACCAGAGTTCACAGCCAAGTCCACGCAGCAGTACATGTTTGTGGTGAGTGTCCTATGAGGGTGGGGGGGTGAGGGCAGCACGTGTGTCCCATGGGAACAGCTGGGTCAAATGGATAGGGTTCAACACCAGAAGGCAGTCCCAGAATTGCCATCTTCCCTGTGGCACTGCACAGTTTTGGCAGCCCAGCCTGTAAATGTCTACAGAATACACGGGATTTAGGTGGGAACCTAAACCCAGGGTTCCCACTGGCTTTGGTCTCAGCTTTGCACCACCAAAGTACTGACAAACTTCCCTACAGTTCTAGGCTCACTCTTTGCAAGCGCACTGGTGTACTCCCGGCAGGAGCCTTACACAGATCATAGAATCCCAGAGTGGTTTGGGTTGAAGGGACCTCAAAGCTCCTCCAGCTCCAACCCCTGCCACGGGCAGGGACCCCTTCCACTGGAGCAGTTTGCTCCAAGCCCCTGTGTCCACCCTGGCCTTGAACACTGCCAGGGATGGGGCAGCCACAGCTTCTCTGGGCACCCTGTGCCAGCGCCTCAGCACCCTCACAGGGAAGAATTTCTTCCTTACATCTAACCTGAATCTCGCCTTTTTCAGCTTAAAGCCATAACTTTGCTCTGTACCTGGGGATTTTCTGTGCATGAGGAATTGTCAAGGAATTGGAGTCAGCACTGGAAATATTCCTGTTTGCAATGAAGGGATGTTGGTACCTTGGTACGTAGTTAATGGGAGTAAATCCAGGGTGCTGCTTCTTGCTGGTTTTGAAGACATTTTTATACAGACCTGTGTGTACATACAGGCACCAGTATGCCTTTTTGCATGAACCCAGAAACAAACAGGACAGCAAGCACTAGAGACCATCTGCTGCAGCTCGGGTACTGCTACAGACTTAACTCTGAAAACAAACTATATCTGAGTTAGTTTCTGTGTCTCTAGATTTAATTCTACCCTTTTGGATGGAAGGGTAATTCTGCATCCAACTATTATGGGCTTTTTGGTTTTCCCCCCTCCAAGGATGCTGGTTCAGTGTAAGCTTTCTCCCTGCTTCTTGGCTTGGTGGCTTCCATTGGTTGAGTGGGTCATTTATTTCCCTTGTTTAATTAGCAGCCTTTTGATTCATAAACTACAAAGGTACAGCTGAGCTTTCGCGTACCTCCAGTTTTGCCTAAACAGGGCGCTTCATCCTGCCACACTGATTCTGTGCTCCGTGGAATCTGTATGCAGGGAAATGCCAGCACTTCCCAATTGCCCACAATCTGTAAACTAATGGAGAGATAAACCAGGCTAACCCCTGCCACCCCCTATTAGTGTTGTATCCCACACCCTCCCCTGGGGTTTCAGTTATTCCACAACATAGCAGGGGTGCAAAATACCACCACATTTTGCTCGAGTATGCCAGAAGCTCTGATCATCACAGGGCAGTGCCAGTATAGTCCCCAGTTCCCCCATTATCAAAAGGCAGGTTCCCATGTGACACAAGGAGGAATCTCTCTTGCTTTGTGTTAAATAATAACCAGGAGCCAGCGGAAGGTAATTGTGGAGATGAATCTTGGAGGAGTATCTTGCAGGAACCCAGTAACATATGCTGAGCACCATCATCCTTTGCATTATTGCTTCTGATTTCCAGCACTTACTTGATTAGATCGTTTCTTTTTCTCAGGCACCTAAAACTTCCAGCACATCACTGCCTTTTGTTAGTTGGCCTTTATTTTTCTCTTTAGTGCTGCCACAGATTCCATTACAGCTGCTTTATGCTGTTAAAGTCAGTAGTAAAATTGATTGGTACCTTAAAGCAGAGCTCTGTTCTGACCCCGTGAGGGTTTATACCTTCATGAGCTCATCTGGAGCCTGACATGGTGCAGGAGCAATGCTGTCACCTGAATTACACCCATTTTATCTGGGGAGGTGGAAGCTTGGAGCCGTCTTGGTCTGTAAATCTGTCATAATTATCACCAAATCAAGAGCTGAAGATGGAAAATCTTTATTAAGCTCTCAGGCCCTCATCCAATGCCAGCTGCAACCCAGCCTTAGGATGGGGCTGAAGGAGGAGGGAGGCTGTGGTGGGCTCTCTGCCTGCAGTGTCACAGCATTGCAGCTTGCTCCCAACTCACTTTAGGGCACAGTTGCCAGCGTTGGGCTGGAGGCTGAAGGAGGTTTCTGATGCAGAATTGTACATGGAACATCCTTTGAATGTGGTGTTTGCATTTTGAAATTGTTCCTCTTGGTTGTATGAAATGGTCCCCAGCCTGCCCAGTGTAACCATTGCTATCCCCATTCTATAGTCTGCTATTGCCATTAGCCGAGGTAACCATCAAATATCCTCAGCTGGAAGGGGACCCATAAGGATCATTGAGTCGACTTTGACCCCAGCTAGAATAAGAACTGGGAGCTGCCAATGAGCAGCTGAAAGATGAATCTTTCCCTCCTGCACCATTATCCCATAATAGCCCGCAACAGGGTGAATTGTATGTTTTATTCTCTGGTCTATTGAGGAGTCAGGGTCAAACAGGCCTGAGCTGCTTTGGCAAATGCTGTGGCACCCAGAAAACACATGTTGCATTGTGAAACCAGTAAAGAAAACAGGACAAACTCTGGGAGCTGCCAAGCAGGTGGTGCCAGGGGAGCAGAGCTGGGAGGCTGCCAGGCTTTGCAGATGAGAGTCATAAGGAGGGGAATGCGGAAGCATTAGGAAAACAATTTGGTAATATCCACTGATTGAAAACAAATAGAAAGGTGCCTGCTGTCTGCAGACTCTATGAAGAGGGATAAAAGCTCACCCGGTGCAAGGTAGGATGAAGACATTGCTGCAATAACATCACCAGTTTGCTAAGGATGTCTGTCCATCAGCAATGGGAAACAGGCTCTGCCCCTACAATACCACCACAGGGGGTTCATGTTAAGCTGGAGCTGCCTTTTGTTAAAGGCCTGTAGTGTTGCCCATGACCCTGGTGGGGGGTTTTTTGATGCGTTACCACATTGGCAAACTTGAAATATTTAGGTTCAGATTTCCAGCATGGCAGTTTGCCAGGCTTGGGATATATACAGCTTTTGAAACTGCAGTGCAAACAGCTTACCTTTGTGTAAAGACTGAGTTGAAGGTAAATACCTAATTTTGCCAAGGCTAAATTTACACTCAGTTTGTTGAACCACATTTTATCTTTCAGAGCTGTGTTCAAAAATGTAGCAGGAGATTTGTCACATATCCAGGACACATCTTCTCTTTTGCTTTTCCATTCTAAAAATGATACCTGCACTCAGCCAGAGCATAAAGATACTCTGGAGAGGATGTTTCTTTGTCTGGCGCGGTCCCTGGACTCACAGCATCTTCCTTCAGAGCACTGAGTTTGTCCTTTGGTTTCTCCAGACTCCAGCAGTGAGTTTCCTGAATCCAAGTCGTGGTCCAGAGTCGGGAGGGACAATGGTGACCATCTCCGGGCACTACCTGGGAGCCGGCAGCCGCGTGTCAGTGCTCCTGGGGAACCAGACCTGCGAATTCTACGGGTAAGGGATCGAGCCGTGTCATGGAATTCTGTGTCCTGGAACCCCAGACTGGGTTGGGTTGGAAGGGACCTTAAAGCTCATCCAGGTCCAAACCCCTGCCATGGGCAGGAACACCTTCCACTAGAGCAGCTTGCTCCAAGGCCCGTCCAACCCGGCCCTGAACACTGCCAGAGATGGGGCACAGCATCCCGGTTATCAGGGCTACAGCACAGTGTATCTCCTGTAGCTGAACACGCAGCCACGGCAAAAAAACTCATGTGGGAACCCCTGAAGGCTCCCATTTCCTATTACCTGAAACCATCTTTGCCATACTGTGACTGAGCCTTGCTTAGCAAGGGAGGGACTGCATGAGTATTAGTGCTTCCATTATTTCACATTTCCTGCTGTTACAATGTTAACTGGTCCAAACGTCTTCAGTGAACATCACTGCGATTTCAGAATGTTTATAATGGTGATCAGGACCTGCCCTGAGCCTGGTTAATCTGAAGAACATGCAGCATTTATAAAGAACAACTGGTTTCTCTTTTCACAGATCAACAACTTGCATTACTTTTATTGCAGCCACCTGCACATCCCTCAACCTCCCAGAAATGGTCAGAACAAGGGGTGGGCTTCTGTGTGGCAGAGCAAAGCGAGGATGTGCACACACCTTCTTGCTGAGAAACTTTCACAGCCATCCATCTCCTCAGGGATTTCTATGGCAAATTTGCCTTTTAGCCAGCAGTGTAAACAGAGAGCTGACATTTGCAGGGTTTAATGGGTTTTATTGGGGCTTAGTTAAAAAAAGATACACGCCGTGCACATCTGCGTGCATCGTACATCTGTGTGCATACACATCTATGCCCTGTACCAACCCAAAGGTGACAGGGTGCATTTCAGAGCGTGGGGAGCCTAAGCAAAGTGGTGTGATGTGCAAAGGGACTGTCCGATCAGGCTTCCCAGGAGGAACCATGGAAGTTCCTCAGAAAGAAAAGACCCCTGAAGGTGAATTTCTTATCTGGAAGACTGAGAGGTTCACTATGGGAGCTGTGGATGTCGAGATCATACAATCACAGAATGGTTTTGGTTGGAAAGGACATTAAGATCATCCAGTTCCAACCGCCTGCCACTGGCAGGGATGCTCCCACTAGATGAGGTCGCTCAAGGCCCCATCCAGTATAGCCTTGAACACTGCCAGGGATGTGGGAGCATGTTGGGATATTAGTGCTTATTCTGCATCCATCCTAGAGTGGTGCTTCAGGACGTCCCAAGGTCTTCAAGTGCAGATCAGTTCACTGTAACCAATGCACCAACATTTCTTCCCTCATCCAAAGCAAAGGTGCCAGATTGCTGCCCCAGATGCACGCGGGTAACAGTGTTCCCACCGACAGAAGCAGCCTTGGAAGCTGGCCTGCAAGCAGCATCAGCCCTGTGGTATAATCCCTTAAATATATGATTATATTCAGGCAACCTGCAGACAGTGACCTGCAAAACCTGGAAGAATTGTGAATAATCTGTATGGTCTAATTACAGCAGGCAAGCAGAAACTTAAACAAAGCCAGGGCAGTGTATGAATGGCACCATCCTTCATGTGGGGTCATGCTGTGCACTTTGTTTTGCTTGGACTGTTTGGAGGCAATGAACTTCAACTGGACTTGAGGGTGTGGGGGAGCCTGATTAGATGAAGCAGCTTCTAATGAGATTCACTCTAATTACAGCTTCCTCCATTCTCCCCTCTCTGCTCAGAGGAGTGGGTAGATTCACCATGACGACATGCTAATAGCATGGAAAGCTAATTAACTGATCACAGAGAGCTGAGAGCAGCCCTGCCAGCAGTGAGGTGTCGCTCTGGATCTTGTGCCAGAGCTAAGCAGGCACTGTAGACTAGCAGGGCTGGGCAGAAAGCAGGCAGCTCTTCAGCAACCACAGAAACACATAGAGAAGCACCAAGGAGGGTGGGGAAATGCACTTCTCAGACAAGGATGCCATTGTGGTTAAATGAAACCTAGGTGGAGAATAAGAATGAGACCAGAGGGGAGGAGGAGAGCAGGAAGGGGTAGACAATTGCATCAACAGAAATAGTCCAGTCCAATCTATTTGAGATATTTTAGGAAGTTGTTTCTGTTCCCTGGGTTATGGTGGATGGGCGTGCAAAGGTGTGCCCTGGGAATATTGCAGTACCTGCTGTTAGATACCCCTTGGAATGCCCAGTGCCAAGTGATGTGCCTGTACTCCTTAGGGAGTGTCTGAGGGACCTTGGAAGGGGCCCACAGAGCATCCCCTTACCCAGGTACAGACACCAGAGCCTTGCTGGAAGCAGAGCAGGGGCACGGCTGCACTTGGGCCTCCAATATTCATGCTTCTTGAGCTGTGCAGCCTCTAAGGGTGAGGATGGGGAAGAGTGGACATTAAGTAGTGCCAGGTTTTGATTTGAATGCTGTGCTGCAGAGCTGCCTGCCCTCTCCCCTGTGAGAAGCAAAAACTAAATGGGCCACAGAAGCAGCATGGCCTTTCTGGCAAGCCAGAGGCAGGTTTGGGCAGGCAGGACAACCCGCAGGTGGCCCTACAGGACACCGGCCTTCAAGGGATGTTGCTCCAGCAGTTTTGTATGAGCAGTGTCCAGGCTCACCACAGAGCTGTGCAGATCCTTGCAGCTCTGTCCCAGCAGCGGGAGCATCGCTGCTTGGATCTCATTCCCCTTCATCCACCCATCCATCCTTCCCTCCCTCCATCCCTCCATCTATCCCTCCATCCCTCCATCCATCCACCCACCAGTGCCTTTGTGCTTTGACAGCTCCTCTCTTCTCTGCTGCCTTGACCTCTGGGGCTTCACTGAAAGCAGATGGTCTGTTGTGTCCAGCCAGCCAGTGCCAAGGCCGAGGTCACCCCTGCTTTGATGGGGACACAAAGGCAGAAGGCAGTGGTGACGGTGGCATCGCCCTTCCCAAGGGGCTTCGTGTGCTCCATTATGCTGCTCACAAGAGCCCATGTATGCAGTGGGGTGGGAGGGGAAGAATTTAGCTTTTGAGTGAGCTTATGCATCCCATTTCAAAAGCAGCCATCTGTTTTCACATGCCCAGCAGAAGGCAGCAGGTTCACAGAGGGATGCAGGAGGCTGCAGTTTGGCACAAAGAGTAATTTCAGGGAGCCTGCGCTTCTCTTTTGGTGGGCAGACAGAGTCCCTTTCCATGCCAGTGAACCTCTCCTGCCCATCTCAGGAGCTCAGCCCCTTTCAGGTATCAGAGTGTAGGGCTGGCTGATGGCTCAGCCTTTTAGTGAGCTGCAGGTCAGCACTAGGACCAAGGGGTTCCTGCCCTTATGCTGTGACTGCCCATTAAGGCTTCCCTGGCTTCTCTCTTGCACAGGCGATCCATGAACGAGATCGTCTGCGTGTCAGCTCCATCAGCCCATGGCCTGGGGGCTGTTCATGTCTCTGTCAGCGTGGACCGGGCTCAGCTGGAGAGGACTTTGCTGTTTGAGTACATTGACGATCCAAAGGTGCAGCACATTGAACCTGAGTGGAGCATTGCCAGGTAACAAAAAGCTCTGACATAATTTCCTTGGCAAGCAGGAGGGTAAACCAGCATGCCTGGTCTGGGTTTTCTCTCTCAGCCTGTGATCTGCCAGGTCAAAAGAGGGTCAATTTGAAAATGCACATCCCATCCTGGATTTGTCAGGGCTGTGCGTGTGCAGCATTTGCAGTTACCAAAAATCAGGTCCAGAGTTACTATCAAGTAGCTGCGATTACCAAGGCAATTACAACAGCAGCAGTCTGCCCACAGATTCTGGGAGCACGAATAAAGCCAAGATCACTTCCATCTGCTGAAGAAGTGCACAATTGCTCATTAAAGGCTCCTTCTCATAGTCCTGCAATAAAACAAAACCAGCAAGCACCAAGAAAGGAAAAAGCTGATGCTAATCAACACATAGTGTTTATTCCAGATTCACTGCTTGGTACAGAGTGACCGGTGCTGTCACTTCACTGTGGCATCATCACTGCTAAAAACCCTATGCCAGCCTCATCCCCTGGGGTTACTTTAATGGTTGTGCTCACACAGGCTGAAACATAGCAATTCATTTCAAATTCCAACTGTTTTTTAAAATTGCCCCTGAATGAAGGGCACAGCAGGCTCTGAGGTGTTTGCTTTGAGCCCCAGTTCAAGATAACGTCTGGTCTGGGGTGAGATGGGTTTCGTGGGCTGGTTCAGGAAGCCAGAAGTGAAACACTTTACACAGAGGCACTGGCTGTAGGAGAACTGGGGTTGTGTCCTACCTGGCCCACATGGCATTGGGGCTCTTCATCCCTCCCCTCCCAAGTGTGACAACTTGCTGCATCTGCAATCCAGATGCAAGTGCATGTCAGCTCCTTCACTGCACATACCGTTCATTGTGTTCCTTAAAAACATCACTATGTAAATCATTAACCACTGTGATTAATGTATTGTCTTACATATTTAGTCTCAGCTCAGTTGATTTCTTTGGTCCCATTTCTCATCCTGCTGCCTTGCAGTGCTGTTAGGTGGGAGAAAGCTGCGAGTATAAAATCTTGCTGACTTTGGACCCCCCTCCCCAGTGACTCAGGGAGTGGGAATTAATCCATGCTGTCTCCTGGTGCCTGAAGTGTCTGCAGAAAACATCTTTCTGAGATCAACAAGCATCCTTCTTGTCAAGCAGAGCCTCTCTCCACAGCATTAATCAGGTGTCTCCTGGTTCTCCACAGCGGACACACACCTCTGACTGTTACCGGCTCCAACCTGGATGTGATCCAAGAGCCAAGGATCCGCGTCAAGTACAATGGGAAGGAGTTTGTCAACGTAAGTAGCTGCTGTCAGCACGGTGCCTGGGAGCATCCCTTGCATGGGTTCTCCCCACCTGGGTGCACACATGCACTGGTTACTGGTGAGGCTTGCCATGGTAAAGCTGCTTTGGGGTTGTTTCCCTAGATTTACCGAAACTGGGAACGCTGGAAAGAGGGATTCTTACACACACAAATTACTTCTTCAGCAGCACAGTAACTGCCAAGGGGTTTTCAAAGCTAGAAATGGAAGCCTCCAGTCTGGATCATCTCAATCACATCAAATTCTGTCTTGGGTCAGATAAAGTTTCACTCTGAAATTCCCCATTTTGTCCGAGGCCCTGAAACCTTTCCTCTCCCCAGCACCTTTGATTTCCAGTCCCTAGCTCAGGTCTACAGGCACATTATGATGGGAAGCCCGTGTAGCTGCCTCCATCATTCCCAGCTGCTCCACACTTCCCATTTTAGTCCTGCTCTTTCTGTAAAAGCCCAGAGTAGGCGCTGAGACCTGCCAGCTCTGAGGCTGCTATGTTTAACTAGTCTCTCCCTAGCTGCCTCTCTATAAATAAACCTCCTACTGCCACAGCTCTGGGCCCAGCAAACCTGTACCAGCCCAGGGAGGGGAGGAGAGAGGGAACCACTTCTGAACAAGAAGCTTTCAGGCTGCTTTTGCAGCTCAGTCACTGCAGTAAGGCCAGAGGCTGCTTCCCTGTATCCACCTCACCATGTGAAGGATGCTGGACATGGGGCTCTGGGTATTCTGGTGAAGCTGGGTGTTATTTTTAAGGCTCTTTTCCTTCCTCCCTTTTATCACTCTAATATTCCCAAAGCAAGGAGTCGGTATAGCAGAATTTGGGCTTGATCTGGAATGCCACCTCCTTCCCCAGTCTGTTTTGTTTCAGTCCAAGGGTAAGAAACTGAAATGAATCCCTAGGTAAGTGGGAACTAAGCAACGTCCTTTTATGCTACAAATACAGATTGTACCTCCAGAACCTGCAGAAATTATTCTGACCAAGTAAAATTGCAATACGCTGTTTCTATGCAGTGATCTTTCTCACTGAACCTGTATTATCTTGGAAAGGGCAAATCACTTAGCAGTCTTTCCTATTCCCTTTCTCCCTTCCCCTCTGAAGACCTTTTTCATTGGAGCTCTTTTTAAAGAGACATCTAATTTTGTTGCTAGCACTTGCAGTTACAGTGCTGCAAAAATAATCCTGAAGACACAAAATAGAGTGAAATTAAATTTTCCACTTATGGAGGGAGGCCAAACGGTTGGGCTCTTGCTGCTTTATAAGGCAAGAGCCTCATAAATCAGCCAGTTCCCTGCTTCCAGGCCTGGAGAAGCTGTGGGTGTCCTCAGCCTGGCAGGAGATGACCTTCATGTTACCTCCAGCCCACAAGTGCCAGACAGTCATTCCTCTCCCTTGCTGGGAATTGCCTCTAATCACCAGTTTGTAGCCGGAAGCAGGTATTTGCTGTGGGTCTGTTTCTCTGGGCTTTCCAGGGCGTATTTAAGGAATCAGAACATGGTTGTGCAGGTCAAGGTAAAGTTTCCCCTGCCATCTTTCAAAGCATCACCTTCCTCCCAGGTCTGCAAGGTGGTGAACGCTACAGCGCTGTCCTGCCTGGCTCCCCCCCTCACCTCCGAGTATCGGCCCGGCCTGGATGCTGTGGAGCGGCCAGATGAGTTTGGGTTTATCTTTAACAATGTGCAGTCCCTCCTGGTCTACAACGACACCAAGTTCATCTACTACCCCAACCCAACGTTTGAACTGCTGAGCCCAACCGGGGTGCTGGAGCAGAAGCCAGGGTCACCCATCATCATGAAGGTAAGGAGACCTTTACTCAACCCATGGGAAGAAACAAAAAAAACAATCCCAGATTTTTATTCCCTCCTTGGAGAATGGGATACCCTGGATGGAGTCCCATCATTTGTACAAGGAAGGGAATGAGGCAGAAATGAGAGAAATGCATCTTTGTACAGTCTTCTCTCCCCTTGTCCCTAGGGCAGAAACCTGTGCCCACCCGCTCCTGGAGGAGCAAAGCTCAACTACACCGTGCTCATCGGAGAGACACCCTGTGCTGTCACTGTCTCTGAGACCCAGCTGCTGTGTGAGCCACCCAATCTCACCGGACAGCACAAAGTGATGGTGAGGGACCAAACACTCCTTTCAGCATCCTTTCCCTCCCTCTTTCCCATCCTTTTGCCCCCTTCTCTAGCTCCCTGATGCACTTGGATATTGAGTGCAGTTTCTTGTCCAAGGTTTGGTAGGATCTTTATTGCTGTCTAATTGGAAATACAAAATACTGATGTGGATTAGCATGGACAAACTTCTCTCCCTGAGGGAACCTACTACCAAAGCCTTCTAGAAGGAACAAATCTTTCTGGAAATGCCTTCAGCACTAGTTATCATCCTTTCTGTGGTGCTGCATAGCATTCCTTCAGTAAGTGAGATCACTGGCATTAAACTGAAAGAGGGCAGATTTAGATTAGATTAGGAGTATATTCTTAACTATGAGGTGGTGAGCACTGGCACAAATTGCCCCATCCCTGGCAGTGTTCAAGGCCAAGGTGGATGGGGTTTGGAGCAACCCGCTCTAGTGGAAAGGGTTCCTGCCCATGGCAGGGGGTTGGAAGTGGATGAGCTTTAAGGTCCCTTCCAACACAAACCATTCATGATTCTGTGATTTTCAGTGGGTTGTGTTCTCCCTCCTGTTGGGATTTTGACAGTCCTTCTAGCCAGACCTGATCTGCAAAGTGGATGGGAAGGTTTTCCTTTTCCTAAAGCAGAAGCAGCTAGGAATATCTGAACGCTGGAGTGGTTGAATCAGTGGCCTCATGCAGGATAACAGTCGGTGTCCTCCTCTGCTTTGGTTTTGGGCATTGCTGCTTCCTCTGATCCACTCGCAGCTGCCGAAGTGCTTGAGTGGAGCCCAAACGAGATTGTAATTGTGATTTATTTCCCTTTAAGTTCAGCATCCAAAACATATTCACATTATCACAGTGTGATGCACAGAAGCGCAACCTGGCTGAGAGCTGCTTACATCTGTGGCCGGGGCACATCCAAGAAAAGCCTGTCCTGGCATTAACCTCCAGCATGTTTGCTCTTTAGCTTTCACATCTCTCCCCTTCTCTGTTCTCTCTTTCCAGTCACTCTGGTTTCTTGTCAGTGAAATTATCACTAGGTTGCGTATGTCCACACTTTACAAAAGGGAGTTGAAAGCTTATAAAATGAAAGTCAAATGGAGCCATCAGATAGTAAGAACAAAGCCCAGATAGTGAAGGGCTGGCACATTTATCATGACTTGAAGCCTCCCTGTGTTCGCATAAGCTACACCCTCTGTTTGAAGGCAACTGGAGTTGCTATATTCTTGGCTGAAACACAACTCTGTTCAGTGCTTCTGTAGGGATCTGCACAGGCCATGTGGTGTGTACTCAGGCTTTGGGACTGGCTGACACCCTTAGCTAAAGCTGCTGGTTACCTCCATTGTGCTTCGTAGGTGCGTGTTGGTGGTATCATCTTCTCCCCTGGCTCGGTGAGCATCATCTCAGACAGCCTCCTGACCCTGCCAGCCATCGTCAGCATCGCAGCTGGAGGCAGCCTGCTCCTCATCATCGTCATCATCGTCCTCATTGCCTACAAGCGCAAGTCCCGAGAGAACGACCTGACACTGAAGAGGCTGCAGATGCAGATGGACAACCTGGAGTCCCGAGTGGCCCTGGAGTGCAAGGAAGGTCAGTACAGACCAGGCACACTCTGTGTGCTACAGCTCCATGCCGTGCTCCCCAGCTCGCCCCAGGAGAGCCCCCCCCATTACCTGATGTTTGTGGTGAGGAATGGAGTTCATGCCCCGCCACGTTTGCCCCCCAGACAAGCTGCAGCAGGGTGGGCAGCCACAGGTGTGTCAGCAGCAGACACAGCTTTGCTGCGTCATGTGCAGAGAATAGGATTAGAGCTTGATCCTCCTTAAGCGACATGCCTGGATGGTGCTGGAGGGATGGTGCGAGCCCCAGGGTGTCCAACACAGTATGACCCCTTGTCTAATGGCCTTTTAGTACAGGGCTTTTAAAAAGGCACAGACATATGGGGGAGAAAAGGTTTGGACCCCCAAGAAACAGTGTGCATCCCAAATGGAAAGCAGAGGAGGATGGGAAAGCTGCTTCAGTCCCTCCTCCAGTCTCTAAGATGTGAGCCCAGAGCAGTGTGAAGCTCCTCAGCATTTATTTCTGGGGAATCTTGTGTGTTATTTGGACTAGATTTCAACACAGACAAGTCTTGCCCCTTCAGTGAGGCAGCTGCACCTGGCTGCTCTGCATGAGAGTGAAGGTAGAGGTGTGCAGACATCTCTGTAGCTGGTGGGTGAGAGGAGAAGCATTCTGCTGTAGTTCTCTGTGTCCTTCCAGCTGGAAGGGAGCTTAGTGAATTAAAGAAAAATAAATCAAAAGCTGCAAATTCCATAGTGTGGCCTGTTTCTAGAGAGCATCACACTGGATTTGTTCAGCTAGTTTTAAAAGGATAGCCTTGGAAGCACAGGACAAAAAATGAGATGTATTCAGGCGAGAACACCACCTGGGCATGGGCACAGCCTTGCTGGGGTACAGAGACCTCACTGAGCCAGCATTTCATACTTTGGAGGATGAACACAAGGCCACACATAGAGCTGTATAACACGGTGATGTTATGTAGCAAGTGGAAGAATAAATCCCTTCCTGACCCCTACAGTAAGCAGTTTCTGCTTGGATTTGATCTGCATGAGCTTTGATTATTTTGGCAACTGTTGACAGAGGAGGAAAGGAAGAAGAAAGGAAAATACAGGAGGCACCAAGTTAGGAAAATAGATCCTCACTTCTATCTGCAGCCTTTAAAGCTGCTGTAGGTGTGTGTACACAAGTGTGAACTGCATACAAATTAATAGGCATCTTTTGTTCTCAGCATCTGCTCTGTGCAGTGTGTGCTCTCTTGCTTTCAGCAGAACCTCTGAGGGAGAGGGTTTGTCTGAGCTACATAGCAGGGTCTCCTCCACATCGCTTTTCTGAGCTGGCCTATTTGTGGGTCCTACTCGAGGTGAGCGGACGGGCAGCCCACCCTCCCCCAAAGCCTGGCCTCCCTGAGTTCACATGTGCTTCTCTCTTGTTCCATTCTCCCTCAACAGCTTTTGCAGAGCTGCAGACGGATATCAATGAATTGACCAGTGACCTGGATCGCTCTGGGATCCCATACCTTGACTACCGGACCTATGCCATGAGGGTCCTTTTCCCTGGCATTGAGGACCATCCTGTCCTGCGGGAGCTGGAGGTAACGTACAGCCTATGCTCAGGCCCTTCAAAGTTTCCCTGAGCTGGTGTGAAACCCAGAGCCCTTTATGCCTTCCACACAAATCTTAATGAGAGGCACTGGGATCAGCAGGATGAGCTGCCAGTTCATTTTAGCTAGGAAGCTGGTGGTTCATCTCCATCTCTCATTGCTTGATTCCTTTTGCTTTCTTCCCTCTGGTGTTGCTTTATGGGGTTTTATATTGCTATAGGCCAGCAGCAAAGCATACCACGTAAGTTACTGGTGTCCTTTTAATCTCCTCCCTATTCACTGTACTGTACAGGGAAGGCTCTGAGCCTGGGAGCATCCTGCTTAGAGCATTCTGCTTTCCATGGCATGTCCACCGGAGGGCAAATGCCGTGGCTCGGCATGGCTAGCCTGCCTGTGAGCACCTCAATGTTTTATCCACCACTATGTCTAAATACATATGGAAAATTTTCACTGGGGATACAGCAAAATGGGTGATGTGCAAGGGTCCATCGGATCCCCTTGCAGATGAGCCCTGCTCACCTGTGAGAGCACCCAAATAAATGATGGTGCTTCAAGAAACATTCTCTGCCACTGAGAGAACGTGGGGCTTCCATCCTCCATCCAGGATGCACAGAAGTACAAGCTCTGCACTCCCTCTTGGAGTATTACTCCAGTATCCTGAAAGTCGTAAGTCCTCTTGCCTTCACACAGCCCAGGGGATGGCTCAAATCTTCAGCCAGAACTGTAAGAGGAAGAAGCAATGCTTGCTTGTGCTCCGTACGGCTGCACTGCTTTACCAGGCAAGCACTACTTAGCATTAATGCATCAAATCTCATTCATCTTCAGTGGGCACCAGCAGTTGCCCTGGTGTTGGTAAAACTCATCCAGGCTTTGAACCAACCTCTCACAGCCCATTACCTGCTATTTCCAGTCCCATGCACTATGTTCACTGTTTAAATTGCCAAATAAGCCAAACAAATATGAAAGTTTTTTGTTTTACTCATGAAAAACAGAATTGCAGAAGTGATGTGCTGCCAATTACACAGTTGCTTAATTACGTAGTGTTAGTAAAACCAATACATAAGTCTCCAAGATGTTTGGTAAGGAGTTGCCTGATGCAGTTCCATCATTTTCACTTGTAATGAATTACTTCAATCTGCAACTGGCTGAAAGCCTCAATTAATTTTTTACACTTGTCCCCTAATAAAGCAATAGTCTAAATTAGTATTTAATTTACTTATAAGAGTGTCACTTTTTGTGCAGAACAAGCAGAATTATATGTTGTTTATAGGGCTGTTAGCCTCACAGTAGCAGCTTTATGACTCTGAGTGCAGTTCTGAACAATGATCATAGAATGGTTAGGGTTGGAAAAGACCTTAATATCATCTAGTTCCAACCCTTCTGCCATGGGCAGGGACACCACACACTGTCACCCAAGACTCCATCCAACCTAGACTTGAACACTGCCAGGGATGGAGCGTTCACAACATGATGAAGGTGAGCTGTACAGAAGTGCTGGGAGGGGACAGAAAAGGTGACCAGGACTCGCCAGAGACCATGTCCAGGGATGCCAAGACTTTGAGAGATAGGGTGCTAGCTTGTGCACTCAGGGTTAAACCATTCACCCCACCCCTAGTGATGCTCCCCTGTTCTCCCAAGCCTTGGCTGATGGGTATTCTCTCGTCCACCACAGGTCCAAGGGAACGGGCAGCAGAGCGTGGAGAAGGCCTTGAAGCTATTTGCGCAGCTGATTAACAACAAAGTCTTCCTGCTGACCTTCATCCGAACGCTGGAGCTGCAGCGCAGCTTCTCCATGCGTGATCGTGGCAACGTGGCCTCACTCATCATGACAGGGCTGCAGGGCAAGCTGGAGTATGCCACTGATGTGCTGAAGCAGCTGCTCTCCGATCTCATTGAGAAGAACCTGGAGAACAAGAACCATCCCAAACTGCTCCTGCGCAGGTAGGGCAAGTGACGGGTCTTAGGGCAGTCACTGTGCTTTCCATAAGGTTGCATGGACACACTGCTGGTGGCATCTGGGGGCTCTGCAGGACCAGGGGGCTGGCTGCAGGAGGAAAACACTGTTCATCCATGCTGGATTTTGGATGACCCACCTATTTCCTTGCCTGTCTCCATGACACAAGATTAACTTAGCGTTTTCACAGATGGCTGAACAGGGTTTTGAACTGGACCACAGAATTACAAACGGGTTTGGGTTGGGAGGGACCTTAAAGCTCAACCAGTTCCAATCCCTGTCATGGGCAGGGACACCTTCCACTAGAGCAGGTTGCTCAAAGCAATCTGGCTTATTTCTCACGTCTGTCCAGTACCTGCGGACCTTGTCTCACATGAGCTGTGCTATTAAGATCGTGAGTAGACCATTAAAGACCTAGTGAAGAGGGGTACTTCCTGGATGGACAATGCCATGCACTGCCCCTAGAGCTGTAAGGGAAAAGCAGGCTGCATCTCCTTCTTTATGTGCTGCGGGGGCAAGGTGGGGTGTGACAGCCTCTGCCCCAGGGATCTCTGCCAGGGCAGCTGCAGCTTTCCCCTCGTCCGCTGCCAGGCAGGCAAGGGTTCTGCTGTGCTCCCCCTGAGGCTTTGCTGCCCCAGGCGACTTGAGTGTTGCAGGTGGCATTGCCACCTTGGCCCCGGGCAGGCTTTTGGTCATGTCCTTCTGTTCCACCTGCCTCTTCTTGGTTTTCTGGGGCACGGCCACAGGTGGGAGCAGAGGCTTCCTCTCTTTGCCTGTGCCTGTGCCCTGCAGAGCTGCCTTGAATCCTCTGCTGCTCTGTGGGGCAGGTGCCTGTCTCTGTCTCTGTGCTGTGGCCTCCTGCTTGCTGAAGCCATGGGAAGCTCGTGCTGGTGCTGCTGGAGGGAGAGGTGCCTGGAGCTGGAAAGGACCTTAAAGTTCTTCCAGCTCCAACCCCTGCAACAAGCAGGGTCACCTTCCACTACAGCAGGTTGCTCCCAGCCCTGTCCAGCCTGGCCTTGAACAGGCCTTACATCCATCTTCCCTTGCCAGGGATGGGGCAGCCCCAGCTTTTCTGGGCACCCTGTGCCAGGGTCTCAGCACCCTCACAGGGAAAGAGCTTCTGCTTACTAAATTTCATCTCCCTCAAAAGCCCTCTGTGTGGTCCTACACCTGGGTCAGAGCAATCCCAAGCACATCTACAGGTTGGGCAAAAAAAGAGATTGAGAACAGCCCTGCGGAGAAGGACTTGGGGGTGTTGGTCGATGAGAGAATGAACATAAGCAGGCAGTATGCGCTCGCAGCCCAGAAAACCAACCATATCCTGGGCTGCATCAAAAGGAGCGTGACCAGCAGATCCAAGGAGGTGATCCTGCCCCTCTGCTCTGCTCTTGTGAGACCTCACTTGGAGCATTGTGTGCAGTTCTGGTGTCCTCAACACAAAAACGACATGGAACTGTTGGAACAAGTCCAGAGGAGGCCACGAGGATGATCAGGGGCTGGAGCACCTCCTGTATGCAGACAAGCTGAGGAAGTTGGGGCTGTTCAGCCTGGAGAAGAGAAGGCTGTGTGGAGACCTCAGAGCAGCTTCCTGTATCTGAAGGGGGCCTATAGGGATGCTGGGGAGGGACTCTTCATTAGGGACTGTAATGACAGGACAAGGGGTGATGGGTTCAAACTGAAACAGGGGAAGTTTAGATTGGCTCTAAGGAGGAAATTCTTTCCTGTGAGGGTGCTGAGGCACTGGAATGGGTTGCCCAGGGAGGTTGTGAATGCTCCATCCCTGGCAGTGTTCAAGGCCAGGTTGGATGAGGCCTTGGGTGATATGGTTTAGTGTGAGGTGTCCCTGCCCATGGCAGGGGGGTTGGAACTGGATGATCTTAAGGTCCTTTCCAACCCAGACTGTTCCATGAATCTATGATTAAGCTGAGGTAACAGCCGAGGTCCCTACATAAAGACCAGCCTTAATGGAACAGATACTGTGTAAATGTACCCTCTCACAGCTGTATTCCACCTCAGCTCTGTGGCTGCATGAGAAGTCCGGGAAGGAGAACGCGGGTTGAGCCTTCTGTTACTCAGGAACACCCGTGAACGTCTGAGACACAGAGAGTGAAAGGGGGGCGGTGGGGAGGCAGACAGTGAGAGATCGCCAGTCTGCCAATGGGAGGGCTCGTTGTAGAGGGAGCGCCGCAGGGGCTCACAGACGCCCCTGCTGATTGGCCCCGGTTCCCGGACTTCTGGAAGCGTCTCTCGGCCCAGCTGCAGGAGTGGCTGACACAGCCGTCACTCAAGAGAGGCTGCTCCAGGCCCCTCCCCGTGCCTGCCCTCTCGGGTTTCTGGAACCTTCTGTCGGTGCAGTCTGTCTGTGCTTTCACAGCCGCAGACCCTGGGCAAGAAAATCGCTAGGGAATGGGGTCGGGGAGGGAACCAAGGCCACGCTTGCGGTCATGCTGCACTACAGCTTCCCAGGCACAGCCTTCAGAGCTGGTTTGCAGCAAGGGCAGGTTGTTCTGTGCTTGCTTTGGTTGCACTGTGGCGCTTTAGGGGCCAGCCGCCCGCAGGGTGGCCATGAATACAAGGTGGATTCCCCACCCCAGACACAAAACAAGAGCTGGGTCTGCGTTCCTGCACAAGTGCATCTGCAGCCTTAGCGCCACCTCCCTGTCATTCCTCTGCTACAGCCCCGGGGACACAAGACCATGGCTTGGGGCAGCTGCAGGACAACCTGCGCTCGAGTGCTCTGAAGCTGCGGGATGGGGGGGGAACAAGCACGGTCCCACATCTGCTGCCCGTTTACAGCTCTGTTTCTGGAAAAACTACCAGCTTCTCACTGCATTGCTTCAGTGCTTGTTTGTGCAAGGGAAGAAGTACAGTCGCAATCTTTCAGCCCTTATCTCTGGCCTTTCTTCTTATTCCTCCCATCCCTCCTACAACCCTCTCATTTCCATTAGGGTGCTGCAACATGCAGCTGGCTTCAAAAGGCAGCTGACGTGTGAGCCACCGCATCACACCCTGCTTCATGCCATCGGGACGCGCTATTCCTGCATGGGCAGCACGTGCTGCCCAGAGGCAGCAAGTCTGCAAGCCCACCAGCTGGGAAGTGCCTCAAGGAAAGAGGTCGCTCCCCAGGCTTCTACACTGCTGACACGAGGGAAAAGCAGTAGGCGGCAGAGGCGAGCAGTGGGGGGAAAGGGGAATGGTTTATTGTCCCAAGAAGGTGTCCGCAGCGAGCGCAGCCTGCAGCACGATGTCCTGAGCGCAGCTCTGTCGGGGCTGGCGCCGGCAGTGGGGCACTACTCCTGCTCTTGTGTGTCCATGGAGGAGAAGCTGGAAGTCTTGCCTGGAGAATTCATTGCTCTCCTGAAGCGGGATGGTTGTCGCTTCATGAATGAGACCTGCAGAGCTCTGTCTGCAAGTATGCACTGCCTTTGGGCACGTGCCTGTGATGCTGCCTCCTCAGCGTCGTAGGGTTCAGAGCCAGGGGAAGCTGGTACCAGCTCCTCCTCTTGTGTCAGGGCATCGAGAGGTGTGCGGTGCTGCTCTTGCTCAGCAGCTGCAGGCAGGGTGGGAGCTGCTGGCTCAGTGTCAGTGGGTCCAGTCAGGGCAGGAGACAGGCTCTGTAGCTCCTCAGCAGCCTCTCGTGCTGTCTCTCGTGCTGCCTCTCCTGCTGCAGCTGTGCCCACACTGCTGGGGCTGCTGGATCCCTCCTGGGGACCCGCGTGGCGGGCCTGGGAGAGCTCTGGTGCAGAGGTGTCGCCATAGGTGTCCCGTACGCTGATGGCTTCCTCCTGGGACAGCTCTTTGTCCCTGTCATTTTGTGACTCGGTTTTCACCTCCTCTGTCTGTTCCTTGGCCGAGTTTGCTGGCAGTAGCAGGCAGAGGCGAGCAGTGGGGGAAAAGGGGTATGGTTTATTGTCCCGAGAAGGTGTCTGCAGCGAGCGCAGGCTGCAGCACGGTGTCCTGAGCGCAGCTCTGTCAGGCCTGGCGCCGGCAGTGGGGCACTACTCCTCTACCCGTGGGTTCATGCAGGAGAAGCTGAAAGTCTTGCGCAGAGACTTCATTGCTCTCCTGAAGCGGGACGATCGTCGCTTTTGGAGCGCTCCTGCATCCGGCTGGGTGGCAGTGCCTGCGGGGATAGGAGAGCTGTAGGCATGGGGCTGGGTGGGCGCTGGGCAAGCTCCTGCTGCCACCCAGCACCGCGGGCTTTCCCCGGGGGCTTTCCACTGAAGGCTTTTTGGCCCTCGCCCACGGAGTGGAGGCCGGGGCACAGGTGAAGTCATGTTCACGCTGCTGCCAGCCTGGCCTGGCTGCCACTCGACGCAGGGACGTACCTGACTCGTCCTCAGTGTCCTGAACTGCTGCAGGTGACACTGGCGGTTCCTCCTCTTGTGCTGCCCGTGAGGCAGGGGCACTGCTGGCCTCACCTTGGTGGTTTTCAGATGCTCTCCTGAGTACTTTGCGCACGAATGAGAGCTGCAGAGCTCTTTCTCTAAGTGTGCGCCGCCTTGGGGCAGGTGCCTGAGATGCTGCCTGCTCTGCGACACAGGATGCAGAGCCAGGGGAAGCTGGTGCCGGTGCCTCCTCGTCCTCTTGTGCCAGGGCAGCGAGAGGTGTGCGGTGCTGCTCTTGCTCAGCAGCTGCGGGCAGGGTGGGAGCTGCTGGCTCGGTGTCTGTGGGTCTGGCCAAGGCAGGAGACAGGCTCTGCAGGTCTCCAGCTGTCTCTTCCGCTGCCTCTTCTGCTGCCTCTCCTGCTGCGGCTGTGCCCACGCTGCTGGGGATGCTGGATCCCTCCTGGGGTCCCGCGCGGGGTGCGTGGAAGAGCTCAGGCACCAAGGGGTTGACATAGATGTCCCGTATGGTGATGGCTTCCCCTTGGGACAGCTCTTTGTCCCAGTCACGTTCTGAGGACTCCTTCACCTCCTTGACCAGGGCTCTGGTCCGTATGTTGCCCTTGATGACGTCCAGCAAATGGGACAGCAGTTGGTCTCTGTCCTCTTCCCTTTTGTGGTCGTTCTCCTCTTCCTGCTCCTTCTCAGTGGGCAGTTCCTCCTGTAATCACACAACCGGGAT